TGGTGCGCAGGTGCGCATGCGCTCCTCGGCCAAAAAAAGAGCACCGGGTCATTTGAAAAAAGGCGCATTTGCGTACCAACATTGAGAGAGAGGGAGAGAGAAGGGGGAAGAGCAAAGAGAGGAGAGAGAAGAGAGAGAGAGAGAAAGATATTTGCGAGTTGCATATGAACTCAGGGCCGGCCCGTCGCACTGGCGTTGATTTTCGCCTAGGGCGCCAGATCTGTGGAGGCGCTGCGCTGGTAGTTCTGGCAGTGGCGAGCCGTCAGGGCCCTCTAGGCCCTCTATGAGGCCCTAAGATATTCTACAAAAATTATATTTAAAAATATTTAAAAAAAAAAAAAAATTATATATATTGTAAACGACTCGTTGCGCCCTCGCTGCGAGGGGGACCCAAGTTCCCATCGGCGAAAACACGTGGGTTTGCTGTCCTGGCTCCAAGATGGTGGAATGAGCTCCCCATTGACATCAGGACGGCAGATAGCTTGCACATCTTCCGGCGCAAACTGAAAACTCATCTCTTTCGACTCCACTTCGAGCGTTAGAACTATTAACGAAGCACTTTTATACTAATAAAGGACTGGCTTACCTAAAGCCAGTTGAGTAGCACTTGAAATGTTTGGCTCTATGAAACCTGATGTACTTATATGATTCTGTTTTCTTCAAGGTTGTGTCTTCCTGGTCGAATGTACTTATTGTAAGTCGCTTTGGATAAAAGCGTCAGCTAAATGCAATGTAATGTAAATGTAATGTAATATATTTATATTTATATAATATTTTTTTTTAGTTATATTTTTCTTTAGTTTTACCAAAATAACTCGATTTAATTGTATTTAAAATAACGAATCTGCCTATTCAGTTTCTGTTGGTATGTGAAGGGTTAAATGAAAGAAGCTCGTCTCTGCGAGTGTGAAGAGAGGAGCTGTTGGACGTCCAAGCGGTCCAGCTATGAATTCACAGAGGGCCCGCTATAGTAACTGAACGAGAGACTAATGTCAAATGACAGTACAATTGACCAATCATATCTTCCCTCTAAATGGGTGGGTGTTATTATCGCGGACTTTATGACAAGTTCCGCCCGCTGTGAAACTTTTCTTGTTTCCTTAGCAACAACAACTTCCTGTCAACAGCGTTAACTCGCCTTCAAAATAAAAGCATGCCAAATTACACTTAAGACATACAACTGCAACGAAAGTAACAAACACAATGCAATATCCTTTTCAATTTCAAAGAACACAAATAGGGTTATTTACAGGTGTTGTTTTGTGTGGTAGAGGGTCGCTTTCATTGATGCGTTTTGCACCCCGGGCCGTTGTTTTGATATTCCGCTGAAGTATACGCTGTGACGTAATAACTCGACGGAAGGGGGGGGGGGGGGGGGGGGGGTCAGAGGGCCTAGGTATAAAACTCACGGCTCGCCACTGAGTTCTGGGAGTGAAAAAAAATTGTTTGACCGTTGGTGCTCATCCTAATTTTCGGCCTTGATGTAACAACGTTCATAATTAAGTAAATGTAACACCCTTTTCACCCCGGTTACACGTTTCATTTGCCCTGTACGATGAAATGGGGGATGTTGGCTTATCTGGCGCCCGCAGCTCACAGCCAAAGTGCGAGTGAGCGAGGGAGAGAGGGAGGGTGCACCGGTACCGGCGCTGTTGTTATTAGAATCTGGTGCTAGCTGCGGATATAAGAAGAAGATGTTTCTACAATAATGTGGAGGGAGAGTCCTCTCCAGTCAGACCGAGAGACTGATAACTACAGCTCAGTGAGGTAAAGGACTCTGAGTGTTTAGATAGTTCACTTTAGTCTAAGTACAAACGGTTTGGTCACAATTTATGTAAACACATATTTTCAAGGCACTCCTTTATAATTATTGGGATAAACAGGTTTGAAATCATTCCAACATACTATAGGACAGTAACCAAACATATCCTTTTAAAACTGGACTTTCGACCCAAAACCAGTTGTTGACTTGTGGATGCAAGCAGCTAATCGCAGACTCAACCAGAGAGAAAGTAGTAGGCCTACATCATTAGCTACCATGTCTGACAGAGAGGAAGACAGTGAGGAGAACAGTCAGGAGGGTAGTGATGACAGCTTGTAGGATTACTGGTTGTGCTAATGTTGTCTTGTGTTCGCCTCTGCATGTGTGTTCTGTGTTCACCTCTGTGTGTTCTGTGCCGTGTGTCTGACAAATAAAGACCGGTTTATTTATTTCATTTTAAGGATGAGCACCAAGCAACATCTCCAGGTGCTCCTTTGAGAACCAGGGCAAAAAAGTTATGTGCACCCCTGTGTATGTCGTCATTGAACAGCAGCCCTCGTTTCGGGTCCAGCAGAGGTGGCCAACCCTCGGGTAGAAAGTTTGGGAACCCCGGGGAGTGGACCGTCTACGGAAGAAGAAATGGGACCTGGATGAGCTTCCCAAATTTGAGAATAACTTTTATAGTGAACATCCAGAAGTGCAGCGAATGAGCGAGGTATTCCTGAAATGATGATTCCATGATTTGTCCTTATTAGTCAACTCAGATGTTATCAGCAGGCTTCACACTGGCTTTTATTAAATGAAAATCAATAACCAGTGTGGTAACCGTGACTGAGGTTACCATATTTAAAGCTAGTCACTGACAACGCCACCTCCTGCTAAGAGGCAGGAGGAACCCGTGGACCCTAAATGTAAGTGTATGTTGTGGACCGATTTGAAAGCTTCCCTTAATAGGTTCAATTATGACAGAGGCATGAATTCCAAAAATATAACGCAGCTTTATTTAAGTGTTGGAAACAGTTTAAAATGTCAATTCATGTAAGTGTTCAAAAGGAAAATATAATTCAACATGTATATAAGTTACCCTCCTCAGTTGGGCAGGCCTGGTCCGCTGGGTTGCAGTGCAATTTCCGCCATTGCAAACCGAGTCAAGCCGACTCCGAGCTGTCCGACTTCAGGCGAGCTTGTTGAGACCTCCCCCAGCTGCAATCGGCTATTCTCGTCTACTTTCAAGGCGAGCCGCAGCTCATCTCAAACAAGCCTTATTACCAGGGCTGCACATAACTGGTGCGCAGGTGCGCATGCGCTCCTCTGCCAAAAAAAGGGCACCGGGTCATTTGAAAAAAGGCGCATTTGCGTACCAACATTGAGAGAGAGGGAGAGAGAAGGGGGAAGAGAAAAGAGAGAAGAGAGGAGAGAGAACAGAGAGAGAACAGAGAGAGAGAGAAAGATATTTGCGAGTTGCATATGAACTCAGGGCCGGCCCGTCGCACTGGCGTTGATTTTCGCCTAGGGCGCCAGATCTGTGGAGGCGCTGCGCTGGTAGTTCTGGCAGTGGCGAGCCGTCAGGGCCCTCTAGGCCCTCTATGAGGGCCTAAGATATTCTACAAAAATTATATTTAAAAACATTTAAAAATATATATATATTTATATTTATATAATATATATTTTTAGTTATATTTTTCTTTAGTTTTACCAAAATAACTCGATTTAATTGTATTTAAAATAACGAATCTGCCTATTCAGTTTCTGTTGGAATGTGAAGGGTTAAATGAAAGAAGCTCGTCTCTGCGAGTGTGAAGAGAGGAGCTGTTGGACGTCCAGGCGGTCCAGCTATGAATTCACAGAGGGCCCGCTATAGTAACTGAACGAGAGAGTAATGTCAAATGACAGTACAATTGACCAATCATATCTTCCCTCTAAATGGGTGGGTGTTATTATCGCGGACTTTATGACAAGTTCCGCCCGCTGTGAAACCTTTCTTGTTTCCTTAGCAACAACAACTTCCTGTCAACAGCGTTAACTCGCCTTCAAAATAAAAGCATGCCAAATTACACTTAAGACATACAACTGCAACGAAAGTAACAAACACAATGCAATATCCTTTTCAATTTCAAAGAACACAAATAGGGTTATTTACAGGTGTTGTTTTGTGTGGTAGAGGGTCGCTTTCATTGATGCGTTTTGCACCCCGGGCCGTTGTTTTGATATTCCGCTGAAGTATACGCTGTGACGTAATAACTCGACGGAAGGGGGGAGGGGGGGGGGTCAGAGGGCCTAGGTATAAAACTCACGGCTCGCCACTGAGTTCTGGGAGTGAAAAAAACATTTTTGACCGTTGGTGCTCATCCTAATTTTCGGCCTTGATGTAACAACGTTCATAATTAAGTAAATGTAACACCCTTTTCACCCCGGTTACACGTTTCATTTGCCCTGTACGATGAAATGGGGGATGTTGGCTTATCTGGCGCCCGCAGCTCACAGCCAAAGTGCGAGTGAGCGAGGGAGAGAGGGAGGGTGCACCGGTACCGGCGCTGTTGTTATTAGAATCTGGTGCTAGCTGCGGATATAAGAAGAAGATGTTTCTACAATAATGTGGAGGGAGAGTCCTCTCCAGTCAGACTGAGAGACTGATAACTACAGCTCAGTGAGGTAAAGGACTCTGAGTGTTTAGATAGTTCACTTTAGTCTAAGTTCAAACGGTTTGGTCACAATTTATGTAAACACATATTTTCAAGGCACTCCTTTATAATTATTGGGATAAACAGGTTTGAAATCATTCCAACATACTATAGGACAGTAACCAAACATATCCTTTTAAAACTGGACTTTCGACCCAAAACCAGTTGTTGACTTGTGGATGCAAGCAGCTAATCGCAGACTCAACCAGAGAGAAAGTAGTAGGCCTACATCATCAGCTACCATGTCTGACAGAGAGGAAGACAGTGAGGAGAACAGTCAGGAGGGTAGTGATGACAGCTTGTAGGATTACTGGTCGTGCTAATGTTGTCTTGTGTTCGCCTCTGCATGTATGTTCTGTGTTCACCTCTGTGTGTTCTGTGCCGTGTGTCTGACAAATAAAGACCGGTTTATTTATTTCATTTTAAGGATGAGCACCAAGCAACATCTCCAGGTGCTCCTTTGAGAACCAGGGCAAAAAAGTTATGTGCACCCTCTGCTTATTAAACTTTTTTTTCACGGAATATTACTGCCAAAAGTCACGTGACTTAAGAGCATTATGGACTTTTCAACAACAGTGATCTTGGCAGGGCTGATCGTAGCTCTGTTGTGGCTGTTCAGTGTCAAAAACAGAAGAAAGTATCGCCTGCCTCCAGGACCCTTTGCGCTTCCTCTAGTAGGAAACCTGCCACAGCTTGACAAAAATGCACCTTTTAAAAGCTTTCTCAAGGTAAGACTAAATGTAATCGGACAAGAATAATGAGAGACGACGTCTCTGCATAACCTCAGTCAAACAGATTTGTTTTATCACAAGGAAACATTTGCTCTAAAGAAACAATAGGTAATTTGCAGCCTTTAATTGCCCTAATGTGTTTTCTAGTTCAGTGAAACCTACGGTCCTGTGATAACAGTGTACCTGGGTTGGCAGCGGACGGTTGTTCTGGTAGGATACGATGCAGTGAAAGAGGCTCTGGTGGACCATGCAGATGACTTCATTGGCAGAACTCCACTGCCGTTTCTGATGAGAGCGACCAATGGCTACGGTAACAAAAGCACAAATAATGTTTCTTTGTCAAGGGACAAGTGATTTCCTAATGGTTTTAGGTCTGCATGTCTCTGTGTTTACATGTATCTATAAGACCTCAGATCGTCACAAAACAACCATTTCCTTTTGTCAGGTTTGGGGATCAGTAACGGGGAACGATGGCGCCAACTTCGACGTTTCACACTGACAACCTTAAGAGACTTTGGAATGGGACGCAAAGGCATGGAACAGTGGATCCAAGAAGAGAGCCAACATTTGAGGGATCGCGTAAAAACATTCAAAGGTATGTTTTCAGCTGTTGTGGGAGACTGGAAGCATTGTTTTTGTTTGCATCTCTCTTGCTTGAGCTGCACTCTTTAAGACTTATCTCTTTTTGATGGCGGTTGGTTCAAAGTAAACACAGACTATGTTACACAATCGGCTAAGACAGTGAACCTTCATTTAAAGCCTTGATTTACTAAGAAAGCAAATGAAGCATTTTAAGCTTTATTTAAATCTGAACAATTGGCAAGCCACAAACTGTGAATATTTTCAAATGATATGTTGATCATTAACAGGTAATGAGTAAATTAAGCTAAGAGTTTGGTGGATATTGATATCTTCAACTAAAACCCACGCAAGGTTGAATGGCTGTTGGACTTCAATCCGTGTATCTACCGTCCATTTGTTTTTCTTTATGAAACAAGTAAACGGAAGAGCATCTGAGAGGCGTTTTTGCTTTTTGCTCTTTACCTGCTACCAGTTAGTAAGGACTAACTGGTCTAATAGAGCAACCCAGTCTCACGGCATTTCGTGTTCACCAACACGATTTTTAATCTATTGATTCGTGTTCACCAACACGATTTGCCCCTTTTTTTTCGTGTTGCACAGCACGATTTTAAAAGCAATGTATTTCTACTGCCTGCAGCACGTCTTTTTCTCCGGTCGGGTCGTGGGAGACCGGAAGCTGTGTGGTTCATAAAAACATGTTCTTACTCAATATCAAGCCACAATTATTGCTTTTATTTTAAATCGTATAATTTCGGACTTTTGTTGCCGTCTGTGAGGAAAATAAATGGGGCTCAGAGCCTCAGAATACGGAAATCTGTATTTTTAAATATTTTTTTCCTTCTAATTCGTTATTCTTTTCAAAATAACACACTGTTATTTACTCACCAATAACACACAATTATCCTTGCTTTTATTTATTGGTTTAATTCCATAATCTCGGGCTTTTTTGGCGTCCGTCAGGAACTTAATTTCAAAATAAAAATAACCGGAAACAGACGTAGGCCTATAAGGGACATTTCGAGCATCATTGCGATTGTCAACATTTCTGAGTTTAGGATGGCCGAAGACACTACACTACCCATAATCCCCAGCTATCGTTTAGGACTACAGTCCCCGTAAGGTTACGCAGAGCGTCAAACAGCTGTGTGAAATGGAACGAAACCACGCCAGACTATCCAAAACTGAAATCGAACGCCCCCCCAGAACTACACATGCTGGCTATTGTGTTTCGCAAAATGTTCTATGGGACGTCTCTACTGAACGTTTTCGTTTTTCCCACAATTAGAAGTTGTCAGTATTAAACACATTGGTGTTATCAAATGTAAAACATATAATTAATAAATGGGTGAAAATCACTTGTGTCCATAATGCGCAGCATTAATACCCACATGACAGCTCATTGTTACTTTATAATTATACTCTACAATTCAGAGGTTAACCTGGTATTTTTACTCCACTGCATTTATTTGAGTTACTTTGCAGATTCTGATTAATTATGTGAAATATAAACAACCCTTAAATCAGACTTTAGTTACACCTGAGTAAAATTCAGGTAAGGTGATTGTCAAGTGCCAACAATCAGGAGAGATATTTGATAGTTGGTGCTTGAGAAGACTAAACATGTATCTGCAATTGACATGAATGGAAACGAGTAATAAAGTATATTCATTACTCGTTATTCTCTACTAATAGTTAATTAAAGACTGTATATTATGGCTATTTTGCACATCCCTTTCAAGATTTTCAAAGGTTTATTGACATATCATACTGTATACACAACTACGGTGTAGTTATGCAATGAATGAAACACTTGGGTCACAGGTTCCTCAACAAGACATCTATCAATATGTGTGTACCTCCACCATCAAACTGTCATATTCTGCAAATTTCTTATTCTATCTACATACATAAGAGTATAATTCATATGTATAATATCAGTTAAAAATAAGTGCTTCAACATAGTTAACATTGCAGGAAAGCAATATATTAGACGTTAAGTACTTTGTCAGGCTTAATATTTATCTGTAGATAGATACCCCCAAAGTTTTTTTCTTATTTAAAAGAAGACCTTAATCTGTTATTTAATGTTTAAATAAAGGTTAATTCGTTTTTCTGTTTTGCACCTCCTCCTATTAATATCTTTGTACATTCTGCACTAAACTGTTTTATTGTAGAGATCACTTAGAGTATCTTCTTGATTTTTTACATTCTATATTTATACTTTCCCCCTATGAAAGTATGTACTCTTAATATTTTTTTAATCAAATATAACAATAATTCAATAACGTGCTAACCACTAGGAGGTGCACACAGCCATAATAACTTTGTATTATAAATGTAGGACACTTATGTTTTCGTACAACATCTGAAGATGTGTAGTTTTATGCATGCTTTCACATAATTGTACAGCATATTGCTATACTATTTCAGACTCAGTATTTACATTCTTACATTCAAAGAAAATCAGTAATATCTTTAAAAACTACAGTCCTTTTATATCAGCTGTGCACCGTTATGGTGTAAATATAACCTATCTGTGAATTAGATCAAATGTAAAAGTCAGCCGAATTAGTGTTGATACTGCAAGGAGACGTATTGTGTGAAGATGTTGTTTAATTGTTGAATATATTTATGATCCACGTCAAGTATTCAGTTTCGGCAGCATTTTCTCAGTTTTTCCAAAGGTCTTCTCATCAGGGCTCTATAAATAAAGAACTACGGCAGATCTGTAATATACAATGCAGCCGATCCGTGTATTACAATGCCGTTATGTGATGAATTTCAAAGAGAAAAGCAAGAGCGCTCGGAATTAAGTATTATTTTATTCTTTTAAAATGTTTTCTGGATTTCATATCATATAAACACCAAATCCCAGCATGCATTGCGGCTAAAACATCCGCGAGCTTAAAACCATAGCTGAGGATCTTGGGTAATCGCTCGAAATGCCTACGTCTGTTTCCGGTTATTTTTATTTTGAAATTCAGTTCCTGACGGACGCCAAAAAAGCCCGAGATTATGGAATTAAACCAATAAATAAAAGCAAGGATAATTGTGTGTTATTGGTGAATAAATAAGTGTGTTATTTTTGAAAAGAATACGAAAAAAATATTTAAAAATACAGATTTCCGTATTCTGAGGCTCTGAGCCCCATTTATTTTCCTCACAGACGGCAACAAAAGTCCGAAATTATACGATTTAAAATAAAAGCAATAACTGTGGCTTGATATTGAGTAAGAACATGTTTTTATGAACCACACAGCTTCCGGTCTCCCACGACCCGACCGGAGAAAAAGACGTGCTGCAGGCAGTAGAAATACATTGCTTTTAAAATCGTGCTGTGCAACACGAAAAAAAGGGGCAAATCGTGTTGGTGAACACGAATCAATAGATTAAAAATCGTGTTGGTGAAATACGAAATGCCGTGAGACTGGGTTGAATAGAGAGGCCAAGTCCCTCCCTTTCCGGGAGCTCCATGGGACCTTATTTCGGAAAAATTATGTATTGAAGTCAATGGCGAGAGAAAGATTATCTTTCGATCCCGTTTGAATAGTGCCACGAATTACACATATTATGCTTTTCAATTTAAAAGATAATTTTGCAAGTCAAAAAAAATAAAAATGGTCGTAAAACTGTGAAGTAACACATTTTTGTGTGTGAAACGCTCAATGGCCTCGCACCACACACCAAGACGGCCGTCACGTTGGCACATTTCACCTATTTCTTTCAGAATGAGGTGAAATGTATTAAAAGAGGTGAAAATCACTACAAGTCTGGGCATGTTGAGAGCTGTATACACACAAGGGGAGTTAGTCGGTTCCAAAAGAGCCAGCATGCAGGACCGGCTTTACAAGGTTTTGGTGAGTATTGTTAATGACATCACTTGCTGGGATTTGCAGTTTTTGGGATTTTCTAGTTGCGTATGTTATTAAGGGCTGTAAATATAATAAGCCTCTGTCTAAAATGGACAACATTGTTAGGAGATTTAAACTATACCACGATTCTGCACTGCAGCTGTCAACTCTGCCGCCTCTCGAGTTTATTTTGTATTTATCGTCTATACTGTATATGACGAGTGATACACATATTTTTTACCACAAGTTCTTAAGGAAACTGATGCTGTTGGACTCGGTACTAGTTTGACTTTTACCAGAAATAAAATGAAGTACTTTTACTGTGTACTTTGTGAGTAATCCTCTGTCAAAGTCCCCTCCATAATGCAGTTTCACTACTGAGTCCAACAGGATCAATCTCACGAAGAACTAATGGAAAAAAATAATAATTCCCTCATCAAATTTAGCAGAGGTGGCTTGATTTTGTTCTCAGCAGGGGACTTTGACAGAGTATTTCTCAAAAAATACACAGTAAAAGTACTTCAATGTATTGTAAGTAGTAGGCTAACTAATACAAAGTCAAATAGTATCAATTTGATTAAGAACTAATGGTAAAATTATATTTGTATCATTCATCAAAGATAGCAGAAACACATGCATTATGGAGGGGACTTTGACAGAGGATTACTCACAAAGTACACAGTAAAAGTACTTCATTTTATTTCTGGTAGAAGTCAAACCGAGTCCAACAGTGTCCGTTGAACCCCATCCCCCCGTCCCTGGGCGGAAAAACGCATCATCTGCAGGAAACAGCGTCTGAGGGCTTCTTAATATTTAATAAACTATGAAAGTTTTATATCTATGTAACGAGAAGAAACTCAGCTAACTGATCCATTTTTTTTATTTTTTCAAAAAAAACTACAAAGCTAGCGCTGAGCCTCTAAATTAGCCACGAGCGAAGAAATGCTAACGCATTACTGCACAGAAACTCACTCATACCACCCGTTATTACTTATCGTAGCTGCACGTGCAACCCATCGATTAGCATCGTGAGAAGACACATAATCGATCGGTACCTACATTATCACTCAATGATACGAACTCGCGACTTTATAAACAAAAACAGACATCAAAACATGTGGCGCTAGGTAGCTAAAACAGCAAAATGGCTTACCTTTGTCGTTGTCTGGTCAAAAGTGGTCTTCAATGGCATTACAACGATAAAAACGCTGCTGAAGGTTAATCCATAGGTTAATCCAATGTGTCTGTGTCCCTTTGAAATGATTTCTGATAATCCATAAGCAATAAACCGACTTTTCCATTTTCAGATGTCAGAGCGAGAGATAGGTTCGCTCTGGCCAAAACTGCATGCGCGAAGCCCCCACTTTTTTTTGTTAACGTTGGTGTGTTTCTGAAAATGCCCCTTCGATTCTATTGGCTCTAACGGTTAAAAAGAGATGTCAATCACCAAAATCGACCAATGGGTTCCAGAGAAACGGCAAAAACGCCCATTTCCACCCAAATCACCCCAGAGGTGGAGTTTATTTTTTTAAATCTCTCTAAAAAGGTCAAATGTCACTTGTTTTGCATCAATCTTGATACAGGGTACTTATATGTTGTACTTTGGATACCTAAAGCTTTTAGTCTACCATCCCATCATGCAAGGGTGGTTTTCACTATGAGTAAAAAATTGTTTTTGGACGGACACTAACATTTACAGCTTTTTTGTAAATGTTCAATCTGAATTTTTTTTTAAATAAAAAACATCTATATTGATTCTGACTTTTCTACATCCAACTCACAGGTTTATCATTACTTTGAGAAAAAAGATTATTAATGTTCCCCTTTTAGAAGTGTAGTTATGGTTATTTGTTCTGGAAATGTCATTTTCGAGCCTGAGACCTGAAAAACAGGGATGGGGTTCAACAGAACTTGTGGTAAAAAAATATTTGTATCATTCATCAAATATATCAGGAATAAAAAAACAAACTCGAGAGGCGGCTGAGTTGACTGCAGTGCAGAATCGCTGTATAGTTTAAATCTCCTAACAATGTTGTCATTTTAGACGGAGGCTTATTATATTTACAGCCCTTAATAACATCCATTTTCTGGGCTCAATATGTGTCTTGGCCGTTTTCGTTGTGATCGCTAAATTCCCCTTGTTTATAATAATCACCGTTCCTTCAGCAGGATACTGTAGTGATTCAAAGTGTGATTTTAGCAAACGAGTGCTTTTGTTTTGAAATCACTTCCGTGAGTTTCGCCCCGCCCCTCGCTCCAAGGACCATTTGACCATTTAGTAAGGTAAAAAGCAAAAACGCGCTCGGACGCTCTTCCGTTTACGTGTTTAATAAAGAAAAACAACTGGACGGTAGATACACGGATTGACTTCTTACAGTGTTGTGACAACAGATACCAACTTTTTTGTATAGTATTTCAATTAAACTAAAACGCTGGTTCTAACACATCCAAAGTGAGTTTAAACATGTTCAAACCCCAGCAAAGTTAGCAGTTGTATGGCAGATAAGATTAATTCTCAATTCAGCGATGTTGTGACCTGCCAGGCAACCAACACCACCTTTTTTCTTCTGATCAGAACGTTTGTAAGATGAGTGTAATGGCAATTTCCTTCTCCTATGTCCTAGATATTTTTGCCGTTACTTTCACAGAAGGGCTGAAGAGTGATCCAGACGCAGACACAAACAGATGATTTCCGGTCCTTTGTTGAAGTTTATAATGTTGTTTATTCAGCTTTACATACCAGGGTTAATTGTACAGTTTCTAATTGTTGTGATGAGCATCTGCCGGGCTGGTGGAATCGGTATGCTCTCTTCCTCCTGTGTCCACACCTCTCCTGTCACCTATGACCTCCTTATACACCCGGTGCTGCTAAACCCCGCCACCCAGTGTTCATAAATAATATTACACTATACATATAACAAATAAACTGACACACCAACAACACCCACAAAATAGCTCCTACAATGAGTCCAACTGTGTTTCCCTCTTCCCTTCCAGCCAAGCCATTTGACCCCTCATTCTTGTTGAGTCTCAGCATGTCCAACGTGATCTGCTTCCTGGTGTTTGGCCAGCGCTTCAAATATGAAGATGAGAAGTTCCTGTCTCTTCTGCAGATAATAACAAACACCTTGAGATTTGTTAGTAGTCCCTGGGGTCAGGTAAGAAGGGGAGACCCGAATCCTACTTAATATCATGTCTATGATTTTTCAAGTTAACTAGAAGTTGGGACAGGTAATGGTGGAAATATTCAGAGAGAATACTGTAAAGATGCATTCACATCATACTGTATGTGCCTCTGCTGACGCTTTAGCGCAATCGCTCAAAATTGTCTCCAAGCGCTGCGCTCAAAGTTTAAATTATTTAATGAAATTCACATTGCGTTTCATGTGAATGCAGCTCAGGCCCGGTTCTACGGGGGTGCATAAGGGTGCATTGCACCCTCAGTTGAGTTGTTATGCACCCTCATTTGAAAAATTAATTTAAAAAAAAAAAGTGAAAAAAATATATATATTAATTAAAAGTGAAAAATATTACATATATAATAACAATAATAATAATAGTAGTAATAATAATAATAATAAGAAGAAGAAGAAGAAGAAGAACAATAAGAAGAAGAATATAGTTGAAATAAAATAAATTGTAATTGTGGTTAAATAACATTGTCTGCTGCATTTATTTGGTCAATTTAAACGGTAAGTAACATTATTATGTCAGGTGCGCGTGACCTCTGCGCGTTCGTCATCTGCAAGGTGCTTACACAGCAGTCAATGATGGACATCAGAAAATGGTTAAAACAACCAGCCCTAATCGCCAGCAGTAACACTGCATCTACTGCAGGTAATAACAGTTCAGATCATGGGGAGATTACGTTACCCGCGGCCACTGTCGTGCACAATAACGTCCTCCCGCTCAACTCACCGGCTTTGCCCGCCTCGCCCACGGAGGCTGAGCAGCCGCAGACGTCTTCGTTGCCCCAAACACCGCCACCCCTAGGCGGCCCGCAAGTGCCAGAGGACCTCGGCAAAACAGAGCCTGCCGAGGTATATTTAAAAAAAAAAGTACCCAACTCGCCTGTACAGTGGGGTAAGGCGCTCATTTTGCAGCTCATGGTTTCACAACAGAGATTGGCTGGAATATTCCTCTAAAAAAGATGCCATCTTCTGCTATGCCTGTAGACATTTCGGTCTTGAAAGGGGAGTGATTTGTAAAATATCCATAAAGAAATAGTAAACCTGCTTACAGTTCTGTTTCATATGGGTGTTGAGATGTATCCAGATCTCTTCATGTTCAAAGTGCACCAGATTGATGCTTTTAACTTCAATATTTAAAAAAAAAATCTTCCCGGGGGAGCATGCCCCCGGACCCCCCTAGAGGAGGTGAGGACCCCTAGAGGGTGTTATGTCCACTCCCCATTTATAAAAATAGCACTTTACCACTGCACCCTCTTTAATCTCAGATGCACCTTTAGTCATTTTGTTCTGGAACCGGGCCTGATGCAGCTTAACAATAATATACAGCATTTTGCAACAATAGCCGCAACACACTGAATACAGTATGAACTCCTGTGAAACAAAGCTTGAGTGTGTCTGCCTCCCTGATACAGATGTACAACGTCTTTCCCCGCATCGTGGAGCATCTTCCCGGCAGCCATAACACTGTTTTTGCCCAGATTGAGGAGTTAAGAGGGTTTGTGTCCATGCAGATCCAAGAGCACAAAGAGACAATGGACCCAAGCTCACCGAGGGACTTTATTGACAGCTTTCTCATCCGAAGCAATCAGGTAGGACTGGACAATTTGCTTTACTTAAAGGTCCCATGTCATGCTTTTCCGGTAATTACCCGTCCCCTTGTGTTATGTAGCTTTTTCTGCATGTAAACGGTCTGCAGAGTCACAAACCCTCAAAGTATACCCTGTAGCGAGTAAAACTCTAACACAGAAAAGACCTGTCTATGCTGCCCCAGAACGCCTCGTTGGACATTTTTTTCATTTTTTTCTTCCTGAGTATAGTGACGCAAGGCAAGTTTATTTATATAGCACCTTTCAACACAAGGCAATTCAAAGTGCTTTACAAAAGTGAAAGACATTAAGAAAAAACGTAACGATACCCAGGTCCAAATGGACCAATCCGCTCCTCACACACACACACACACACACACACACACACACACACACACACACACACACACACACACACACACACACACACACACACACACACACACACACACACACACACACACTCAGCCTTATCTTTTCTCAGCCGCGGCTCCGCGGATCTCCGCACACAGCCAGGCTGTGAGTGTGTGTGTGTGCTCAGGCTGAGTTCCTCGCTGTCTTGCAGACCCCACGCAGCACCAGGAAACGACACCAGTAATACAGCTCACACTGTCCGCTCCTCGAGCCTCAAAGGGCGGAGCAGCGAGCCCCGCAACGTCCCGCCAACACAGCACCCAGACCCCACACAGCATTCTCATCTGTTTGTCATTACTGGTGTCATTTTCTGGTTGCTAACAAACGCCATTGTAACACATAAACACTGATCTTCAGCTGTAACAGTGGTTGACTAATCAGAACAGAGTGGGCTCATAGGGAGGGGGGGGGGCAAGAGCTCCAACAAGCCGTGTAGGACAGAGAGTGAATACACATACTATACAGAGATGCTGTATGAGAAACCAATGAGATTTTGGAACATTGAACAACGTAAATCTATTCTAGTAGACCTCAACAATGGAATTATGATCAGTAGAAATGGCCATGTCACGGGACCTTTAAGAAACCCGAGACCACACTGCGCAGTATAACTTTGATCCTGGAATTTCTTAAAATTCCTCTGTATCCAATTAAACATCCCTTCACATTAATTTGGATGCTAAGAAAGGTTTCCCTGATGTACTATGGCAGATGTCATCAGAAAAAAATATATTTGCTGTTTGCTGTGCATTTTGTATTATTTATACCAATATAACCTCTCAGGAAAAGGACATTCCTTCAACGGAGTTCCACCATGAAAACTTGGTCTCGACTGTGCTGAATCTCTTCCTGGCAGGAACGGAAACAACCAGCTCAACCATTAGATATGCCCTCAGTTTGTTCATAAAATACCCAGACATACAGGGTAAGTCCCCCAACAGGAAACACAGCCCTTTTTGACCAGTTCTACAAACATCTATAATCCTGTATTTACCTTTAATGTTTTGCTTGCTCCCGTACAGAGAAAATGCAGCATGAGATTGACACTGTGATTGGACAAAGTTGTCCTAGCATGGAGAACAGGAAGTCCCTCCCCTTTACTGATGCAGTCATCCATGAGGTGCAGCGCTTTCTGGACATTGTCCCATTCAGCATCCCTCACTACGCACTCCATGACATCACTTTCAGGGGTTACACAATCCCCAAGGTATTGTCCATCCCAAGATATCATATCCAATGACAGAGACAAATCCTTATTACACTAACATGTCTCTCACATGTCTTAATAGGACACTGTGATTATTCCTTTGCTTCACTCTGTGCTGAAAGAGGAAAAGCATTGGGAGACTCCCTGGACCTTCAACCCTAAGCACTTCCTGGACCAGAATGACAACTTTAAGAAAAATCCTTCTTTCATGCCTTTTTCTGCAGGTAAAATGCGGCATTCCGCCAGTTGATACATCAACCCTTAGCATGCTGAGGAATATTAATAATAGTAGTTTTCTGTGTGAGTGTGTTTGACTCATTGCCCAGTAACAATCGTAACCGCAATTGTATTTTCAATTTGAAGTTTGTGGTTTTATCTCTTCACAGGGAAGAGAGCCTGTGTTGGCGAATCTCTGGCTCGTATGAAGCTTTTTATCTTCCTAGTTTCACTGCTGCAGAATTTCACTTTTTCCTGCACTGGAGGCCCCGACACTATCAACCTCAATCCAGAGTTCAGCAGCTTCGCCAATCTGCCTCGCTCCTCCGAGATCATCGCCACGCCACGTTGAGAACAGGAAGTCCATTTAGACCAGGGGTGTCAAACTCAATTTCATCTCGGGCCACATTAGCAAAAAAAAAAAAAAAAGGGCCAGTTTTATATATAAGACTATATAAAAATACATATATAAATATTTAATATATAAAATAATGTATTATATTACATTATTGCCTCTGCATTGGATGATTATCGGATAGGGTAATAACTTCATAATTAACTACATCTGAAAGCAGAAGTCTAGGGCAAATAATTGCAAGTCTCTTCAGTGAGAATGTCACAAAATGATTTAAAAAGAAAAGCCAAATTCTGGAAAAAAAGTCAGAATGTAAAAAAAACAAGTGACATTTTGAAAAAAAAATCACAAAATGTCAGATCCAGAGAAAAAGGCAAATTCTAAGAAAAAAAGCATATTTTGAAGAAAAAAAATTCAAATTCTGAGAAAAAGTCACATTTGAGATGCATTGTAGGACATGTAGTTTATGGGCATCCTCTTGTCTTCTGCTTTGGTTGTCTTTTAACAATTCTTAGTAACTCAATTAACTATCAACATGCCGTCTTAAAAAAAAAAAAAAAGTATTTCTGAAATATGTATTTGTATACATACACATGGCAATAGATTACTTCTGTATACCTGTTGGAAAGTCTTTGTTGTGTTTGTGTATTTACTGAATTTATTCCAAGTAACATTTCATTGGAAGAAAATCTATCAAACAAGAAAAAAACACCCAACACATCAAATGTATCATCTCTTTTTAAAAGATTATAAAAATCTCTGCCTTCCATTGGCATTTCAATCAAAGTCAGATCACTGAACCTTGAAAGAGATAAGGTACATTTGAGTCCTTTTCCTTTGACCTGTAAAACGTCTTTCCAGAGGTGGAAACTTTACTTGAGTATTTCCATTTAATTGTTCTTTAAACTTCTACTCCACTACATTTATTAGTCATCTTTAGCTGCTTTTAACAAAATGCATCCCTTCAAAATAAACTAGCGGACTAACTCTTTAAGCCACATAAGAGTTTAATTATGTAAATATTTTACAGAAAGTCAAACAGAACTTTGTTTGTCTATAACAGTGAAATGCTACTTGATGCGACCGTATTATCTAGTAATGTCACATTATTAAATATAATTATATAGAGACATAAAAGCCATTTTCTGCAATATAATTACTTTAACTTTTTACACTTTAAGTACCCTCCTGCAATTCACGTAAATGTAATAATTGTTTATTTACATTTGGCCTCTTTAATTCAAGATTGTCACTTTTTCATTAAAACAAATATACTGCTACTTTTGACCATGGTGTAATTATCTGCTATTTGTTTTAGTTTTCTTCTTATTGTGCTATTAATAACGTGTTTAAATATGTAAGTCTATTCTCCTCACTTTACCTGCACTATCTGATGTTGTTTAATGTAATTTTCCCCGTTGCGGACAAATAAAGGATTTCAGTCAGACAACTCACGTGTTTCTTTAACATGTTTAGAAGCAGCATATAGTTGAGTTTGGCGTCTAGGCTCGGGCCTCATCACTCCACAGATATACATAGCACCATGAGTGATGATTAAATAACTATCCCCCGAGCCTACAGGTGGAAGCTGGGGTGGTGGTGGGGCAGGTAAGCAGCAGCAACGTGGAAGTAGCTGCAGCAATAGCAGCAGCAAGCAATGCATAGAGAGATATCTGGCAGGTTAAATAGAGCGGAGACTCTGTTTGGTTGGTTGTAGATTGTCAAGGGACGTTATGTATGAATGCAGTACTCGACTGCCTGAGCTTGCAGGCTTCGCCCTATTCGTGATTCTTATTAATTATGCTGATACTACTTTTGTACTTTTTAAGATTTTGAATGCCGGACTTTCACTTTTAATTAAGTATTTTGACAATAACGTATTGGTACTTTTACTTAAGTAAATGTTCTGAATACTTCTTCCACCTCTGACTACTTCTGAGCAAACCAGCAGCAAAATGTCAGGAGTGGGGTTGAGGTGACGTCAAAGGGCTCTGCACATACCCTTAGAACCAGAGTTATGCAGGTAACCTTTGTTTTCGTCCAGAGAAAGCTTGAAGCAGAGACAGATGTGTGTAGTTTACGGTCATCACAGGATTTAGACCTTCAGTGGAGGTTACTTCAGTGGAGAAACACCTTTCGTGGAGCCAGGGGCGGTTCTAGGGGGGCCAGTGCCCCCCTAACACTAACTTTGGACCCCCCTGTGGCCCCCCTAAAAATGAAAAAAATAAAATATTGGCTGACGGAATAAGCGGAAGTAACGATATTTGTCATTCTAGTCGGACCCATTAGAGCAGGGGTCTCCAACACGTCGATCACGAGCTACTGGTATCTCGCAAGCCCTCAAGGAGCACACAGCCTCTGTGAGCAAGCGAGACAGAGAGAGAGAGAGAGAGAGCTAGAGAGAGCACACCGTTATCTATTTAATGTGTTGTAAAAAATAAAGAAATCATTCCAATGTGTCCTATAGGACAGTAAAAAAAAAAACAGTTTGAAAGGGGAGTGATCAGTAAAATATGCTTAAATAAAAAGAAAGAACGCTAACTAGGTAACATAAGATAAGAGTAAACAAGTTTAAATGATTTGTTATTGGTTGTGATCATATTCTAAAGATGTTTTTATTATTGAAAAGTATACAGCTCTCGTTCATGAGTGTTGAGAGCTGTATCCATAAATTCATTTTGTGCTCAAAGTGCACCAGATTGATGCATTTAACTTCAACATTTAAAAAAAAATCTTCCCAGGGCTGCATGCACCCGGACCCCCCTAGAGAAGGTTAGGTCCACCCCCAAATAAAGCAGGCTCAAATAATTAAATTGCATACATTTTCTTTTAGTAAACACTGAAAACGGGTCCCACAGACCCAAACAGCTCACAAAGGTAAGCGTATAATAATGTGTAATGAAACAAATACCAATAACTGTATTGCATTGTTTTCTTAGATGTATGCGCAATTACTTCATACTGTCTTTGTCTTTTTCGTCCTGCATTTATTGCGCCCCCCTCAGAAAATAACTGGCCCCAGCCTGGCCCCCCCAGTCAAATTGGTCTAGAACCGCCACTGCGTGGAGCATTATGGAGTTGTCAGCCTCATTGATTTCAGCGGCTCTTATCATTGCTTTACTGTGGCTGCTGAGCCGGAGGAACCATAAACACGTGAGTCTACCTCCGGGACTGAGCGCGCTGCCGGTGATAGGCAACCTGCCGATGAGTTCTTCAGCATGAATGTTGCTGATGAGAGCAAACAGCAGGACGGAGAGCTCTGAGACTGCAGCCATTCTGCTTGGAGGTTTCCTCGTGAGTGTTGTGTAAACAATGACACCGCTCACACATAAGATCTGTATCAACCCTCAGCAACAGCGTCTCATTGGTGGACTGAAAACATGACATCTTTATCTCAACTTCAGTGGAAACTCTGAAGGGTTACGTCAAGGCCATGCTATTTTTGGTTAGACTTCTGATCTGAACATGTTGATATCTTGAGTTTGCTGCACAGGAAGACATTGATCAGATGGTCAGGGAGGCGTGTGGTGCAGTGGGATGTGCGTTGATGTTCGGATCAGGGGGTCACAGGTTCAAACCCCACTGCAGTCAGCATGTCGTTGTGTTCCAACGCAAGACACTTCACCCCAAATTGCTCCTGTGGGGATTGTCCACAGTATTGAGTATGTAAGTCGCTTTGGATAAAAGCGTCTAACAAATGACATGTAATAATGTAATAATGGTTAGAGTTGAGGTGGTCCAGATACCAGTTTGGGGGACTGGGGCTGTGATGTAGAGAGGTTTTCTACCAATGGACGGGTTGAGGGTTTGACCCTGATGCAAATTGGGCAAGATACTTAAGATAATGTGTGGATGTTAGTTTCTCTGAGCAGTGGGCTCCTTGTATGGCAGCCTCTCTATGAATGGCTGTAAATTGGTAAACAATGCACTAAGATGGTAAAGAGGTGGTACCCCAAGGATCAGTACTGGGTCCACTTCTCTTTTCAGTTTACATGCTCCCTCTTGACCACATCATCCGTAAACACAACATCAGTTTCCATTTTGAACTGCCTGCCTCCAGGATATCCACAAATGGATGTCTCAAAAACACAGGCTCCTCCAACAGTGCAACATGAATATATATATAGGACATAGAACAAATAGAACAGATACAATAGTGGATGAACGACATCCCTTTCTACTAGTGTCACAAAAACATGAAGCACTCTGAGGAAAAACTGTGTTAGTGTTCAGCACTGTCGTGTCAAATGTTCCTATAATCATTTAAATCATATAGATTATGTTTCAGACTCTGATTGCCTTTTACTCGGTTACATTGTAGTTTTAGTGACACCAAAAACATGAAGCACGCTGAGGAAGAACTGTGAATAAAGAGTGTTACGTGTATCAGTGGAAATGTGTATTTCCTGTTTCAAGTTTCGAGGATTTATTGTCATGTGCACATTAGCTACAGTGTAGATATGGCAATGAAAAACTTTAAAACCTTTAATATACTGAGGGGTTTCCATCTGGAGGATTAAACCTCTTTAGCTTCACATTTCAGATTCCTCATTTCATCATATTTTTTTTATTTCGTACAGGCTAAAGACACAAACATGGACATAACAATAACATATCGGAGATGACATTCCCATTTCAGACTAACACAAAAAAAACAACAACAGAAGAAATAAAGATACAGTCAGTAGGATCACTTCAACATTTCACAAACAAAAATAGGTTGACAACCAAATACCACCAAAAACACAAAATGGCAAGCATATGTATTGTTCCTTTAATCCCACTCTTCATTAGAGCTCATTATTTCCCATTTCATGGCGTGTTGAGCCTTTGATTTTTTTGTGGCAATATTTTTTTCCAAAAATAAATTGGATTTTTAATCTACTCTTCAAACAATTTAAATTAAGATTACTCCTTGATTGACTTTTAAACATATGTATTTTAGCCAGAAGAATAGTTGTATTTATTAACTGTGTGCGGTCTTCATCTAACAGCCCCAATAAAATATTAAAGGGTGTAAATGTAAATTCCATATTGAGTGTCTTCAGCCAATTTCGAATCGTAGACGACAGACTTGCAACATGTGGACAATACAAAAATAAATGCATCTGGTCTTCCTCATCACAGAATCTACATAATGGTGATGGTTCAATATTAAAGATGTTGAGTTGTTTGTTTGTAGCGGTAATCTTGTAAAAAATCTTCAGTTGAAAGATTCTTGACTACGAATCAATTGTTGTTTTGTTGTTTTTGTTTTTGTACCTGTTAAGCCCGAGAGCCCCCGAAACTCGTGTCTCAGGGCTTCTTAACATTTAAAAACGTATTAATGAATGTCTCCTGGATGCAACTCTGCAAGGGCTTTGTGTAGCAGTTAAAGTCACATGCTTACAAAAGAGCTTTGTTTGCTGCACCATACATTACTTATTTAGTGAGTTAAGGGCAAGCCTTAACACAGGGTTCTTACGGTCATTAAAAACCTGGAAAAGTCATGGAAATTCAAAAAGCTAATTCCAGACCCTGGAAAAGTTATGGAAAACAATATTGTTCCCAAAGTTTTGGAAATGTAACTAAAGTTGCATCAAATATAATTTATATTTTAGCTAATCGCCGAAATAGTAATACTATAATGATAATAAATACTGTATCGTATAGTAATTGAAACGTAAAATGGCATTTAACTCGAGGTATTTTGCTGGTGAGAGATTTTACTTGCTTTAGCGTGTAGAAGCTAGTAAGCCTACTATTTGATTTGTTTTAGAGAGGCACAACATGTTTCAGATGCAGACCTTATTTTCCTGTTCCATGTTAAAATAAACCATTTCAGTGGTACCGCTGAGAGAGTACGTTTTTTGGTCATGGAAAAGTCATTGGTGAAAAAGTGTATGAACCCTGTTGAAACGGATGGACCCTGAATCTAACTAGAGCTGTCGTCCATAGGAAAGAATGTGCGCCAGGGAACCTACGTTCCTAAAAAGAAGGGCTTCTAGATGTCCCTGAACAGCGACACAATTAAACAGTATGAAGTGATTTGTAAATAGAAATACAGATTTGACTTAATGTTTTCATAAATATATTTTTCTCCCAGTGAAATTGGCATGGGACTTATTTTTACCCTCTCAAAGAACCGGAATCGAGAACCGAAAAGAACCGGAATCAGAACCGGAATCGTTAAAATCCAAACGATAACCAACCCTATATAAAGTTCATTAGTTGGTTTTAGGGTTCTTATTTAGAAAATAGACATAAATCTTTTACCAACAGCAGCTGCTACTGTACTTAAACTAAACATGTATTCCAAAGTGCTTTAAAGGTCCCATGTCATGGCCATTTCTACTGATCATAATTCCATTGTTGAGGTCTACTAGAATACATTTAAATTGTGCAATTTTCCAAACTCACATTGGTTTCTCAAACAGCATCTCTGTATAGTATGTGTATTCACTCTCTGTCCTAAACGGCTTGTTGGAGCTCCTGCCCCCCGGAGGAATATAGAGGAATATTTTTGAAGTTTTTAATACTCTTATCAACATATGAGTGGACAAATATGCTTTATGCTAATGTTTATTATCATTTGAACAATGACAAATATTCTCATGAATATTAAACACAACAACTTCTGAACATTACAAATATTCGCCTCAATTCAACCTGGAACCTAATACAATAAAAATGGTGTGTGTGTGTGTGTGTGTGTGTGTGTGTGTGTGTGTGTGTGTGTGTGTGTGTGTGTGTGTGTGTGTGTGTGTGTGTGTGTGTGTGTGTGTGTGTGTGTGAGAGATGGATCGTTGGAGCTATGTGCAACTCAAGGCATATGCTCGAACGGGAGCTGCCTGGACGCTGCAATCATGTTGCACTATCCGTGCTGAGTGTGCTGACTTCACGTACAATGTCCCACTGTCTGACTTCCTGCATAAAGTCAAGTGCTCGGCGCAGTTGTCGGCGAAATGTCGCTCCTCTGTTTTCATTTAAACAGCTCCTTATATCTGTTAGCGCAGCTAGCTAGCACCAGATGCTAACAACAACAATGCACGTAAGGTCTCTCGCTCGCTCGAGCCACACATGCACACACCCTCCCGGTCATCCCAATAGCCAGTCGGTGCCTGCCGGTGAGCGTGGAAGTGTGGTCTGCCACAAGCGGGCGGCAGGAGCGGGGCTGTCAGCATCAGCTTGTAGATGGTATTTTAAACTCGATGCGCTCGGGGCGGCCGAGGACAAAAATACACATGCGTTAATCGTGTTAAAATAATTAGTGGCGTTAATTTTTTTTTGCGTTGACAGCCCTAGTACCAATACATTATTGTCAAAATACTTAATTACAAGTGAAAGTCCTGCATTCAAAATCTTAAGAAAAAGTACAAAAGTAGTATCAGCATAATTGATAAGAATCACACATCCTTTATTTGTCCGCAACGGGGACAATTACATTTAACAACATCAGATAGTGCAGGTAAAGTGAGGAGAATAGACTTACATATTTAAAAAGCATTTTACTGTTGTAGACAAACAAAGTTCTGTTTGACTTTCTGTAAAATATTTACATAATTAAACTCTTATGTGGCTTAAAGAGTTAGTCCGCTAGTTTATTTTGTAGAGATGCATTTTGTTAAAAGCAGCTAAAGATGACTAATAAATGTAGTGGAGTAGAAGTTTAAAGAACAATTAAATGGAAATACTCAAGTAAAGTTTCCACCTCTGGAAAGACGTTTTACAGGTCAAAGGAAAAGGACTCAAATGTACCTTATCTCTTTCAAGGTTCAGTGATCTGACTTTGATTGAAATGCCAATGGAAGGCAGAGATTTTTATAATCTTTTAAAAAGAGATGATACATTTGATGTGTTGGGTGTTTTTTTCTTGTTTGATAGATTTTCTTCCAATGAAATGTTACTTGGAATAAATTCAGTAAATACACAAACACAACAAAGACTTTCCAACAGGTATACAGAAGTAATCTATTGCCATGTGTATGTATACAAATCCATATTTCAGAAATACTTTTTTTTGGTTTTGTTTAAGACGGCATGTTGATAGTTAATTGAGTAACTAAGAATTACTAAAAGACAACCAAAGCAGAAGACAAGAGGATGCATAATCATTCCGGCTGTTCCCTTATGTTGTATCTTTACAGTATGTGTCCGCCAGGTAACAGCAAACATCATCTTTACAGCAAACAGTGCAAAATCACAAAAAATCAATATATGTTATCGAGTTGTCCTCGACTCAGAATGCTTCAATCAATGATAGGCTCAGTCTAAATGGACTTCCTGTTGTCAACGCGGCGTGGCGATGATCTCGGAGGAGCGAGGCAGATTGGCGAAGCTGCTGAACTCTGGATTGAGGTTGATAGTGTCGGGGCCTCCAGTGCAGGAAAAAGTGAAATTCTGCAGCAGTGACACTAGGAAGATAAAAAGCTCCATACGAGCCAGAGATTCGCCAACACAGGCTCTCTTCCCTGTGAAGAGATAAAACCACAAACTTCAAAATGAAAATACAATTGCGGTTACGATTGTTACTGGGCAATGAGTCAAACACACTCACACAGAAAACTACTATTATTAATATTCCTCAGCATGCTAAGGGTTGATGTATCAACTGGCGGAATGCCGCATTTTACCTGCAGAAAAAGGCATGAAAGAAGGATTTTTCTTAAAGTTGCCATTCTGGTCCAGGAAGTGCTTAGGGTTGAAGGTCCAGGGAGTCTCCCAATGCTTTTCCTCTTTCAGCACAGAGTGAAGCAAAGGAATAATCACAGTGTCCTATTAAGACATGTGAGAGACATGTTAGTGTAATAAGCATTTGTCTCTGTCATTGGATATGATATCTTGGGATGGACAATACCTTGGGGATTGTGTAACCCCTGAAAGAGATGTCATGGAGTGCGTAGTGAGGGATGCTGAATGGGACAATGTCCAGAAAGCGCTGCACCTCATGGATGACTGCATCAGTAAAGGGGAGGGACTTCCTGTTCTCCATGCTAGGACAACTTTGTCCAATCACAGTGTCAATCTCATGCTGCATTTTCTCTGTACAGGAGCAAGCAAAACATTAAAGGTAAATACAGGATTATAGATGTTTGTAGAACTGGTCAAAAAGGGCTGTGTTTCCTGTTGGGGGACTTACCCTGTATGTCTGGGTATTTTATGAACAAACTGAGGGCATATCTAATGGTTGAGCTGGTTGTTTCCGTTCCTGCCAGGAAGAGATTCAGCACAGTCGAGACCAAGTTTTCATGGTGGAACTCCGTTGAAGGAATGTCCTTTTCCTGAGATGTTATATTGGTATAAATAATACAAAATGCACAGCAAACAGCAAATATATTTTTTTCTGATGACATCTGCCATAGTACATCAGGGAAACCTTTCTTAGCATCCAAATTAATGTGACGGGATGTTTAATTGGATACAGAGGAATTTTAAGAAATTCCAGGATCAAAGTTATACTGCGCAGTGTGGTCTCGGGTTTCTTAAAGGTCCCGTGACATGGCCATTTCTACTGATCATAATTCCATTGTTGAGGTCTACTAGAATAGATTTACGTTGTTCAATGTTCCAAAATCTCATTGGTTTCTCAAACAGCATCTCTGTATAGTATGTGTATTCACTCTCTGTCCTACACGGCTTGTTGGAGCTCCTGCCCCCCCCTCCCTATGAGCCCACTCTGTTCTGATTAGTCAACCACTGTTACAGCTGAAGATCAGTGTTTATGTGTTACAATGGCGTTTGTTAGCAACCAGAAAATGACACCAGTAATGACAAACAGATGAGAATGCTGTGTGGGGTCTGGGTGCTGTGTTGGCGGGACGTTGCGGGGCTCGCTGCTCCGCCCTTTGAGGCTCGAGGAGCGGACAGTGTGAGCTGTATTACTGGTGTCGTTTCCTGGTGCTGCGTGGGGTCTGCAAGACAGCGAGGAACTCAGCCTGAGCACACACACACACTCACATCCTGGCTGTGTGCGGAGATCCGCGGAGCCGCGGCTGAGAAAAGATAAGGCTGAGTGTGTGTGTGTGTGTGTGTGTGTGTGTGTGTGTGTGTGTGTGTGTATGTGTATGTGTGTGTGTGTGTATGTGTGTGTGAGGAGCTCCGCAGATTGGTCCATTTGGACCTGGGTATCGTTACGTTTTTTCTTAATGTCTTTCACTTTTGTAAAGCACTTTGAATTGCCTTGTGTTGAAAGGTGCTATATAAATAAACTTGCCTTGCGTCACTATACTCAGGAAGAAAAAAATGAAAAAAATGTCCAACGAGGCGTTCTGGGGCAGCATAGACAGGTCTTTTCTGTGTTAGAGTTTTACTCGCTACAGGGTGTACTTTGAGGGTTTGTGACTCTGCAGACCGTTTACATGCAGACAAAGCTACATAACACAAGGGGACGGGTAATAACCGGAAAAGCATGACATGGGACCCTTAAACAAAGCAAATTGTCCAGTCCTACCTGATTGCTTCGGATGAGAAAGCTGTCAATAAAGTCCCTCGGTGAGCTTGGGTCCATTGTCTCTTTGTGCTCTTGGATCTGCATGGACACAAACCCTCTTATCTCCTCAATCCGGGCAAAAGCAGTGTTATGGCTGCCGGGAAGATGCTCCACGATGCGGGGAAAGACGTTGTACATCTGTATCAGGGAGGCAGACACACTCAAGCTTCGTTTCACAGGAGTTCATAATGTATTCAGTGTGTTGCGGCTATCGTTGCAAAATGCTGTATATTATCGTTAAGCTGCATTCACATGAAACGCAATGTGAATTTCATTAAATAATTTAAACTTTGAGCGCAGCGCTTGGAGACAATTTTGAGCGATTGCGCTAAAGCGTCAGCAGAGGCACATGTATACAGTATGATGTGAATGCATCTTTACAGTATTCTCTCTGAATATTTCCACCATTACCTGTCCCAACTTCTAGTTAACTTAAAAAAATCATAGACATGATATTAAGTAGGATTCGGGCCTCCCCTTCTTACCTGACCCCAGGGACTACTAGCAAATCTCAAGGTGTTTGTTATTATCTGCAGAAGAGACAGGAACTTCTCATCTTCATATTTGAAGCGCTGGCCAAACACCAGGCAGCAGATCACGTTGGACACGCTGAGACTCAACAAGAATGAAGGGTCAAATGGCTTGGCTGGAAGGGAAGAGGGAAACACAGTTGGACTCATCTTACAAAAGGTGTTGTTGGCAGGTCACAACATCCATTGAGAATTCATCTTACCTGCCATACAACTATTTTTCAAATGCTAAAAACGACTAACTTTGCTGGGGTTTGAACATGTTTAAGCTCACTTTGGATGTGTTAGAAGAACCATGGTTAGAACCAGCCTTTTTGTTTAATTGAAATACTATATAAAAAAGGTGGTATATGTTAATGTCACAACACTGTAAGAAGTCAATCAATAGTAGGCTAACTAATACAAAGTCAAACAGTATCAATTTCATTAAGAACTAATGGTAAAATTATATTTTTACCATTAGTATTTCAAGGATAGCAGAAAAACATGCATTATGGAGGGGAATCTGACAGAGGATTACTCACAAAGTACACAGTAAAAGTACTTCATTTTATTTCTGGTAGAAGTCAAACTAGTACCGAGTCCAACAGTGTCAGTTTCCTTAAGAACTTGTGGTAAAACATATTTGTATCACTCGTCAAATATAGCAGGAATAATGAAGAGCAGCTGATTTGAAAAAACAAACTCGAGAGGCGGCGGAGTTGACCGCAGTGCAGAACCGCTGTATAGTTTAAATCTCCTAACAATGTTGTCCATTTTAGACATAGGCTTATTATATTTACAGCCCTTAATAACATCAATTTTCTGGGCTCAATATGTGTCCTGGCCGTTTTCGTTGTGATCGCTAAATTGTAAATTCCGCTTGTTTATAATAATCACCGTTCCTTCAGCAGGATACTGCAGTGATTCAAAGTGTGATTTTAGCAAACGAGTGCTTTTGTTTTGAAATCACTTCCGGGAGTTTCGCCCGCCCCAAAAAAGCAAAAACGCCTCTCAGACGCTCTTCCGTTTACTAACTTTACTTGTTTATAAAGAAAAACAAAGGGACGGTAGATACACGGATTGAAGTCCAACTGCCATTCAACCTTGCGTGGGTTTTAGTTGAGGATATCCACCAAACTCTTGCTAGCTTAAGCCTTAATGTAGGTCATTACCTGTTAATGATCAACATATCATTTAAAATATTCAGTTTGTGGCTTGCCAATTGTTCAGATTTAAATAAAGCTTAAAATGCTTTCTTAGTAAATCAAGGCTTTAAATGAAGGTTCACTGTTTAAGCCGATTGTGTAACATAGTAGGCTATGTTTACTTTGAACCAACCACCATCAAAAAGAGATAAGTCTTAAAGAGTGCAGCTCAATCTAGAGAGATGCAAACATCCGAACAATGCTTCCAGTCTCCCACAACAGCTGAAAACACACCTTTGAACGTTTTTACGCGATCCCTCAAATGTTGGCTCTCTTCTTGGATCCACTGTTCCATGCCTTTGCGTCCCATCCCAAAGTCTCGTAAGGTTGTCAGTGTGAAACGTCGAAGTTGGCGCCATCGTTCCCCGTTACTGATCCCCAAACCTGACAAAAGGAAATGGTTGTTTTGTGACGATCTGAGGTCTTATAGATACATGTAAACACAGAGACATGCAGACCTAAAACCATTAGGAAATCACTTGTCCCTTGACAAAGAAACATTATTTGTGCTTTTGTTACCGTAGCCATTGGTCACTTTCATCAGAAACGGCAGTGGACCTCTGCCAATGAAGTCATCTGCATGGTCCACCAGAGCCTCTTTCACTGCATCGTATCCTACCAGAACAACCGCCCGCTGCCAACCCAGGTACACTGTTATCACAGGACCGTAGGTTTCACTGAACTAGAAAACACATTAGGGCAATTAAAGGCTGCAAATTACCTATTGTTTCTTTAGAGCAAATGTTTCCTTGTGATCAAAAACATCTGTTTGACTGAGGTTATGCAGAGACGTCGTCTCTCATTATTCTTGTCCGATTACATTTAGTCTTACCTTGAGAAAGGTTTTAAAAGGTGCATTTTTGTCAAGCTGTGGCAGGTTTCCTACTAGAGGAAGCGCATAGGGTCCTGGAGGCAGGCGATACTTTCTTCTGTTTTTGACACTGAACAGCCACAACAGAGCTACGATCAGCCCTGCCAAGATCACTGTTGTTGAAAAGTCCATAATGCTCTTAACACTTGGTCCTCTTGAATCTCTGCTGCTCAACAGATCTCTAAATGCTTGAATCCTTTCATTGGAGCTTATATTTAAATGGGTGTTTATCTTTTACAGCATGTTGACAGGAGCGCTGCATTAGGACACAGGTCAGCCATGTGACACTCCTTGCTAATTTCCTGCCATAACTCCACAAACAAACTAAACAAGTTTTACAAATGCCCAGGGCCGTCCCTCCCTACAGGCCGATCATGCAGGCTGCATTTTTGGATGGGTGATGCATTTTTTAATGAGTAGCCTATGGGGGGGATGAGTAACATTTAACTCAACATTCCTGTTTTCGTTCTTCAATGAAACAAATAATTGTTCAATAAAATAATAAAAACTTGTTCCGTTCTACTTCATTTTTTAAAATCTGTTGAAATGTCATGTTTTGTGTTTAATTTTGCATCGAATATTTCCAAAATCCCCAGCTTAACTTCCCATGGAAACTTTCTGGAAATGTTCCGCCCCTTTGCAACCCTATTCCTAGCAAACAGTAAATCCCTTTTTTTACAGTTTAAAGGTGGGGTAGGTAAGTTTGAGAAACCGGCTCGAGATACACTTTTTGTTATATTCCATGGAATTCTCTTAACATCCCGATAACAATAAATAAATTAAATGCTTTGACAATAAATACATTAAAATATGTCATCTCTGGAAGCCGTAGTGCTGTAAAAAGCACGACCAATCATCTGAGCCGGCCCGGCTAAAGTAACTGGATGGCCTACCTGCCTGTCAGCCTTCCATCTGTGCACACACTTATCTCGTGCCCTCATTGGTCATGAGCGCGTTCGTGTGTGTTGGAGGAGGGGCTCTGTAAGGAAGTGGCAGATTTCTTCCGGCTGTGTATTTTCAAATTCTAGCGCACTCGAGCTGGTTTCTCCAAAAGTACCTACCCCATCTTTAATACACGTCTTCAATGTTTTACTGCGTGGTCTTTAAATCCTTGACGCTAAATGTCGCTTACGGTATTTTATCAGGAAGTTTCCATGTGGCCAACAAACACGAAAGAACAGGTTTTCAGGTCACCAAGAAAAAAAACTTTATTACCCATTTTGAATATTTACCAGTGTTATGCTCTTTGCACGAGTCAAATGTACAGAACAGGACCGCCATCTTTGGTATTTACAGAGCGGTCGTATTATGAGGAGTGCGGAGGAATGTGATGAGGAGGAAGAGGAAGAGTTCATGCATCACAGTCTGTAGAAACATCATCTCACCTTCAATGATCTTCACTAGATAAATGCTGAAATAATAAATGCTTAAATTACAAGCTAAAGAAACTATTAAATGCAACTACTAAAATTTGTTTTGGAATATATTAAGAATTTAAGGTTATATGGATCTGATGAGAAACTAAACGCAATAAAAGTTAAAATGTTAGAAGGAAAAAATAGGCACGAATGGCAGACAGTAAATGATCGTTAAAGAAAAGACAGGAAACGGTACAATCAAAAATCATTCTGTGCAAATCAAAGAGTACTCAGTCAAAGTAATAATCCTCACAAAACACACACTTCACAAAGTACATGTCGCAAACTAAGATGAGCTGCGTCTCTCTCTCTTGGTGTGCTGGATGTTACATGCAGAGGTGATTTAAACTGACTTAGTGGAAAACACAAGTGCACAAGTTTGATGTTTTCTTCATCCTTCGTAGCACCGTCTTTAAAGAAAGAAATGAGACAAGACTGCAGGACTTTGTTTTAAAGCACAGCAGACTAGACACAGAGCAAAGCAAACACACGCTGCACTGACTGAGCGTGAGGAAGATAATCAAAGAGTGTTTTTAGCAAAGGAGCGTATGAAGAGTTGGAAGGAGGCGGAGTCTGAAAGTCTGTCAGGTGGTGTTTGAGTCTGAGTGCTATAGGCTCCCCCACGTCTCTGCAGGAGGAAACTGTTCTACAGCGCCGGCCTCACTGTGCTGCTGCTGCCCCCCCATGGTGAAGGTCAGGGTGTACTGCAGCTGCACTTTGTCCTGAAACACACAGGAAGAGAGAGAGAGAGAGGGAGGGGGGGTTACTACCAAGTCTTTGGGACTTCTATTGTTAATTTGACCAGAGACATTCAATTAACTTAAGTGCCATTTTTGTATTAAACATGTATATGTAATTGAACTTCTGCTTAGCAGTGTCATTGTTATAGAATCAACCCTATAGTTAAATCGGAATAAATTGAAAGCATCAGAAAAGACAGTATAAGTGAATTTCAGACGTATTATACAAAAATGATATTCCAATGAAGGGGGGGGGGGGTTATTTATCTAGAAAAAAACTCTGAGATCTACGTTTTTAAATCTAAGAGAAAAATACGATTGTGTCAGATTATTAAAATAGCTATTTGTAAGAAAGAATATCAGAAAATGTGCATACAAGTAAAACGTTGAGGTGACCGTCTTGTTTGTACAATAAAGGTCCAGTGGAGGGTCTTTCATCAGGTAGTATCTTTAAAGGTCACCTATTACACTGTTTTTCATCAATATATCATAGGTCTCAGATACAGAACATCTCTCTGAAGTGTTTGGCTCCAAACACCAAACAGATAATTACAGCATCCCATGGGGGGGGGGGGGTTACCTTGGTTGCTGATTGGCTAATGGTTACACAAGCCAAAACATCGTTATGACATCATAAAGTGGCCAAAATCTGATCAGCTCATTTTCAGACAGGTTTTTATAGAAATGGATCAAAAAGAGAGAGAATCTTTGTTCCTGAAACTTTCAGAGTCTCTTTACACAGAGGGGACACATGTTGATGTAGAAGAGACATGAAGAAGAGGGGACACATGTTGATGTAGAAGAGACATGAAGAAGAGGGGACACATGTTGATGTAGAAGAGACATGAAGAAGAGGGGACACATGTTGATGTAGAAGAGACATGAAGAAGAGGGGACACATGTTGATGTAGAAGAAACATGAAGAAGAGGGGACACATGTTGATGTAGAGGAGACATGAAGAAGAGGGGACACATGTTGATGTAGAAGAAACATGAAGAAGAGGGGACACATGTTGATGTAGAAGAGACATGAAGAAGAGGGGACACATGTTGATGTAGAAGAGACATGAAGAAGAGGGGACCACATGTTGATGTAGAAGAGACATGAAGAAGAGGGGGACACATGTTGATGTAGAAGAGACATGAAGAAGAGGGGACACATGTTGATGTAGAAGAGACATGAAGAAGAGGGGACACATGTTGATGTAGAAGAGACATGAAGAAGAGGGGACACATGTTGATGTAGAAGAGACGTGGAGAAGAGAGGACACATGTTGATGTAGAGGAGTCATGAAGAAGAGGGGACACATGTTGATGTAGAAGAGACATGAAGAAGAGGGGACACATGTTGATGTAGAAGAGACATGAAGAAGAGGGGACACATGTTGATGTAGAAGACACATGAAGAAGAGGGGACACATGTTGATGTAGAAGAGACATGAAGAAGAGGGGACACATGTTGATGTAGGAGAGACATGAAGAAGAGGGGACACATGTTGATGTAGAAGAGACATGAAGAAGAGGGGACACATGTTGATGTAGAGGAGTCATGAAGAAGAGGGGACACATGTTGATGTAGAAGAGACATGAAGAAGAGGGGACACATGTTGATGTAGAAGACACATGAAGAAGAGGGGACACATGTTGATGTAGAAGAGACATGAAGAAGAGGGGACACATGTTGATGTAGGAGAGACATGAAGAAGAGGGGACACATGTTGATGTAGAAGAGACATGAAGAAGAGGGGACACATGTTGATGTAGAGGAGACATGAAGAAGAGGGGACACATGTTGATGTAGAAGAGACATGAAGAAGAGGGGACACATGTTGATGTAGAGGAGACATGAAGAAGAGGGGACACATGTTGATGTAGAGGAGTCATGAAGAAGAGGGGACACATGTTGATGTAGAAGAGACATGAAGAAGAGGGGACACATGTTGATGTAGAAGACACATGAAGAAGAGGGGACACATGTTGATGTAGAAGAGACATGAAGAAGAGGGGACACATGTTGATGTACGAGAGACATGAAGAAGAGGGGACACATGTTGATGTAGAAGAAGAAGACACATGAAGAAGAGGGGACACATGTTGATGTAGAAGAGACATGAAGAAGAGGGGACACATGTTGATGTAGAAGAGACATGAAGAAGAGGGGACACATGTTGATGTAGAAGAGACATGAAGAAGAGGGGACACATGTTGATGTAGAAGAGACATGAAGAAGAGGGGACACATGTTGATGTAGAAGAGACATGAAGAAGAGGGGACACATGTTGATGTAGAAGAGACATGAAGAAAGAGGGGACACATGTTGATGTAGAAGAGACATGAAGAAGAGGGGACACATGTTGATGTAGAAGAGACATGAAGAAGAGGGGACACATGTTGATGTAGAAGAGACATGGAGAAGAGGGGACACATGTTGATGTAGAAGAGACATGAAGAAGAGGGGATACATGTTGATGTAGAAGAGACATGAAGAAGAGAGGACACATGTTGATGTAGAAGAGACATGAAGAAGAGGGGACACATGTTGATGTAGAAGAGACGTGAAGAAGAGGGGACACATGTTGATGTAGAAGAGACATGAAGAAGAGGGGACACATGTTGATGTAGAAGAGACATGAAGAAGAGGGGACACATGTTGATGTAGAAGAGACATGAAGAAGTGGATTCTGCATAATAGGTGACCTTCAGAGGAAGCCCCCTGTTGTCCCCCTCACCTTGTTTGGGTTGGCCAGCAGCAGGATCTGTGTGACGGCAGCAGGAGGGAGGACGGGGTTGAAAGCCGGGAGCTCTGTTCCTGACGGAGGCTGCAGCTTCACCGCCATGCACTACAGGAGGAACAGGAAAACAAGATCAACTTCCTTACGTCGCTGAGACACGTCTTTACAAGATGAGCCTCTGAGCTCTCTCAGCGCTGACCTTTGGAGCCGCAGTCTGGAAGTTAATGTTGGAGACGGGGAGCGGGGCGGAGGACAGCATGGAGATGATCACCACCAGCACGTCGGGGCGGGAGGGGGGCGAGTCCCGAGCGAAGTGGAAGAGAACCCGCAGACTGTGTCCGTCAAACACCGTCACCGGTAACAGACTGCCTGCAAGGAGAGGGGGGGGGATGTATAGTTTATATTGTTGCAATGACTCAGTTGTCTCGTGTCTTATCTGTCAGAGAGAAACCGTTCTTTTTATTATCATACATTTTACCCACTTGTGTTTATGAACCTGATCAAATGTTATATTTTGCTGCATGTACTTTTAAAGTTCTTAACAAATAATCTGAGGGGAATTTCTTGTTGTTTGTTTTTAACTTGTGATGTGTCATTTTGTAAAGCACTTGTTGTATGAAATGTGCTTTATTATTATTATTATCTAATACAGGGGCGCCGGGAGGATGTGTTTTTGTAGGCCGACCTGGAAGTTAGCAAAACAAGGAATCCTTCAACAGAAAGCCAATGGGATATGTTTCATTTGATTTTGGAATATTGCAGAAAATAATCTCTGTGGCAAACACACGTTTATAGGGATGGGTACCGAGCCCCGGTATTAAACAGGCCCGGGGCTGAATTATTAAAGACCGTGGTACCGTTAAGCTCCGACGTTACCGGTATTTTTATCGGTACTGGAGACATGTAAAAATATATGTCATATGTATTATTGCTACACCAACATTATATTGCAGTTTTAGTGTCGCCAACTCCGTTTCTAATACGCAAAAAGACTGAAAAATTCCACGTCAGGTGTTATGTATGCTAGCAGCGACACACAGAGTTAACTCAATGATACAAACATGGGTTAATGATTAGAGGCAAGTTATTTATTTTGTTAAAGTTTCAGCTATTCTGTCATCAGATTATTTAATACGATTTGTTAAAACATTGTTGTATCTTTTGATGTGAAATATTATGTATTTATTTATATTTAAATAAAAAGCAATGTTAGTTTTGTTCACAATTCGTTTAGTTAGTTTATCTTATTTAAAAAGAACCGATAAGAGTACCGTTAAAAGACCGGACCGATAAGCGGTATCGATAAAAGTAGTAGTACCGTTAAAACCTTAACGATACCCATCCCTACACGTTTATGATACGTACATGTTTTGTTCAGCAGGATAATGTCCACATATTAACTCCACTTTGTGATTGTTCAAATGTAATTCGCCAGAAGTGAAAAGCTAACGTTAGGCTATAAAGGAACGACATCACGGTCACATGACTTCAGGTCACCACCGCTAAGCTAAAGGCGGCTAATGTTCATCGTGATGACATTTAGTCGTCTCATTTAGACACTTTGTTAGCAACCGCTGTTTTTAAGACACAGAAGCTTCAGACATTCACCAGTGGGGTGTTTACTGACACGTGAATATCTCGTAAACTTGTGTTTACCACAGACCTTATTTCAGGCTTTTAATCGAAAAACATTAACTTTGAGAAGAAAGAGCCTGGAAATGCGATCTCATTTCAGGGTTTTACAACTCAACCCTGCACTGATCGATAAATCTGTTCTCCCTTAACGCAGAGGCATAAAGCTATCAAGTTGACTTACTGGGCTTAATGGATTCTAGCGGTACAAAAACATCCGTCAGTGAGACTTCTGCTGCAGGAGCCTCGGTGTGAGTCGGGGACATTTCCAGCAACGAGGCTGCGAGGCTGGGCTGAGAGCTGAGGAGGGGAGCGGGGGCGTCGGATACGAAGGTGGGGATGGGGATGGGGGTGATGGTGCACCCAGACTTGCTCTGCAGATCTCTCAGAGTGGGTTTGCACAGCTGCTTGTCCCTGGAAAAAGAGAAATGAACTTAATTCATTAGTGTGTGCTTTTACCCTCTCACACAATGGCAACAGCTTGAATGCACGAAGCATTAATTCTTATAAATTGTGAGGGAAACTTCTGAAGCAATTGGAGTCAGGACTCAGAGAGACACGAGGAGAGCTGGAGCTTTGATGGCAAACACTGACGGTTTATTTGGAGCTTCGGCCGGAGAATTCACAAGACATGTCACGGGCCACGAGTTGACCACAGGGTAGAGATGCCACAATCAATTCTGAAGAACTCTTCTGCAGCTCCAGGTTTTAACTAGTTCGGAGTGTAATAATCAACATTCTTTATCAGTGAGACTAAACAATTATGGATCCTGAATCTAACTAGAGCTCTCGTCCATAGAAAAGAATGTGTGCCAGGGAACCTTCGTCCCTGAACAGTAAACTACCTCATGGCGGCTTGTGCTCTGTCATAGACTGGCAACAACAATGCGCCCAAGCTGCTCCTCCTTAAGAGAGATTGCAGCAATACCCAAGGCCGTAGAGCAGTGCTTCTCAAAGTGTGGTCCGCGGACCACTGGTGGTCCGTGAGTATATTGGTAACATTTCACATTTGAAATAAATAAATACATTTAAGTTTTCCGCACTCTCGCGGGAATATTTCCGCAATGGAACGAGCTTAAGTTTCACTTTCTATTGCATGATAAAGCCCAGGGCAACACCTTCGTCACACATGTTGCCACTTGTTTGTATAATTTCCAGGCGATTTATAATCTGTGTTTTGGGATATTTGTGGAGTTAGGTGGTCCGCGAGTATTTTTTTATTGGTTAAGTGGTCCTTGGTATGAAAAAGTTTGAGAAACACTGCCGTAGAGCTATGCCATGGGAAAGGAGACAGTGAGAGGAGAACATGATGAACTGTGTCAAAGCTTGAATACCTAAGCAAATGATTCCCCAACAGAAATGTGAGGAAAAAAATAGTCAAAGCATAAAGCTGTTGTGTGCTGTAACGGAGGTGATCTCTGGGGCCGTAGATCTCGGTCTCCGTTACGTAGGATATAGTTTCATTATTGGCGATTCATTTGTTCCACGCTAAAACATTGCACAGGAAGCATGTGAATATATGTCATTTATGCATCTATTTCTCACGATCTGTCTATGTTTTAGTTTGTCCGTTTCTGTTTCCTGTTTGAGTTTGAAAGTGTTCCCCCTCCCGTCTTGTCTGTTGCTGGTGTTCACCTGGTGCCCTGTGTTTTCTCTTCCCTCCTCACCTGTGTCTTGTTTGTTTGATTAGTCCTGAGTGTATTTAGGTTCCGTTTCCTGTTAGTCTGTGTGTGGGAGATCCTTGTTGCTGGTGACTGTGTTCACATGAGACAGTAATATTGAGGCTGTGTCATGTACCAGAATGAGTAATAAATGCCCACACCGGGTTGTATTTGGGACGTTCTGCCTCCTTGCTTGGTCGGGCCGCTCAATGGTCAGCGTCACATGTACCGTATCAACAATGCAGAGATTATTTTTATTTAATTGTATTCAATAACCGCAAATTAAACAGTATGAAGTGATTTGTAAATAGGAATACAGATTTGACTTAATGTTTTCATAAATATATTTTTCTCCCAGTGAAATTGGCATGGGACTTATTTTTACCCTCTCAAAGAACCGGAATCGAGAACAGAAAAGAACCGGAATCGTTAAAATCCAAACGATACCCAACCCTAGTATAAAGTTCATTGGTTGGTTTTAGGGTTCTTATTTAGAAAATAGTAGGGATGCTCCGATCGATCGGTCACCGATCGATATCGGCCGATACTCACTCTCTACCGATCGATCGGTGTTCTCTAAACATGCCGATCGCGAGAGCCGATCGCATGACGTAAAATACATGACACTTTTCTCTGTGTGCGGCAAACCAAGCTCGCCAAAATGGCTTCACCGGTCTGGCATTATTTTAAGGTGTCCGAAAAAGACGGTAAAATAGCGGTATGCAACGTGTGTGAAGCAGAAATCCTGCAGCTCCGCCCGCCGGACCGGTAAGCGGGACGAAACACACAAGAGTTAGACCTAACACACTTAGCTATTTTATCTACCTCTGGAACAAGCTAAACTAGTTATTATAAATATATTTATTCTTCACTGTCGGGTCACTCATTACTAGATCAGTGAGCTGCATGAGATACTGACAGGCTGTCAGGAGAGAGAGAGAGAGGGGGGGGGAGGGAGAGAGGAAAAGAGGAAAAGAGAGCGCTTCCGCTCATTTCTCCCGTGTTATTCTCCAAAGTGAATGTAAACTTGAATAATGTACATCATTTGAATGTAATAATTAAGTTGATTGTTGTTTGTGGAAGCTCCAGTGAATGAGCCCCATTAACTGAGTTTAAACATCACTTTAAATGGAAGATTTAAAGTGATGTTTAAATCTTCCATTTAGGCCACTTGGTCGGATCGGCGATCGGTATCGGCCGATACTGATTCCGGCCCCGAAATTGGCGATCGGAGCATCCCTAGAAAATAGACAGAAATCTTTTACCAACAGCAGCTGCTACTGTACTTACTCAGTAAGTGCTTTAAAGGTCCCATGTCATGGCCATTTCTACTGATCATAATTCCATTGTTGAGGTCTACATTCACATTGGTTTCTCATACAGCATCTCTGTATAGTATGTGTATTCACTCTCCGTCCTAAACGGCTTGTTGGAGCTCCTGCCCCCCCTCCCCGTGAGCCCAGTGGCCGTCTGCGAGACAGCGAAAACCAGCCTGAAACACACACACACACCCGCAGTCTGGCTGGGAGTTTGTGTGTGCTCAGGCTGAGTTCCGCGGTGTCTCGCCGATCCCACACCAGTGAGCCAGCTCAGTGTCCCGCTCCTCACAGCAGTGAGCCTCGCAACGTCCCGCCGAGTGTGTGTGTGTGAGGAAATCCGCGGATTGGTTCAAACGTAACGGCTCGGCAGATTTGTCCATTTGGACCAATCTGCCGAGCCGTTACGTTACGTCACTATACCCGAAATACGTCACTATACCCAAGAAGTAAACAATGGAAAAAGAGAAATCTCCAACGAGGCGTTCTGGGGCAGGATAGACAGGTCTTTTCTGTGTTAGAGTTTTACTCACTACAGGGTGTACTTTGAGGGTTTGTGACTCTGCAGACCGTTTACATGCAGAAAAAGCTACATAACACACAAGGAGACGGGTAATAACCAGAAAAGCATGACATGGGACCTTTAAGTGCTCACAGTAGAACAGAGTTTTTTAAATTACCATTTGACCTGCTGGTCCTCTGGAGGCAGGGACTGCTGCATCAGCGTCTTCCCCAGCAGGTCCAGCTCGTCCAGGGCGGAGTTACCGGGGGTGGAGCCGGAGGAGAGGGGGAAAGAGAGGGAGGAGAGGGGGAGAGAGAGGGAGGGGGGGTCCGGAGTCAGGAGGAGGCTCGGGGCTGCTGGGATGTCTGCGTCTATACTGTCAGAGGACTGAAGAAGAGAGAGCGTGAGAAGATGGATGTCTCGCTGATTATACTGGAGCCTTTTAACGTGACTGTTTAAGGGGGTTTGAGAGCGTAAAGAATCTTCCCTTTGCTCACCTGGAAGGAGTCCCAGGCTGTGGAGTCTTCAGGTTGTGAGGGGGGGTTGGAGGTGTGTGTTCCTTCACTTAGACCTGTGGGATGCACAAAGAGTTACACAACTATGTAGGACTATGGTTCAACTCGTAACATGCCAACACACTGACACAAACAATCCCTCAAAACTCACCCTTTCACTCTTGCCTTCAACTCCTAATCCACTAACCCCTTGCCCTTATTCCACCTAGCTTAGCGCTTTTTACTTTTGTTGTTATTTTTCTTCTTTACTTGCTTGTAAAGCGTTTCAAGCACCAGGAAAAGTGCTATATAAATCAAATATATTATTATTATAAAGAAGTCCACACAATCAAAGTCCTGCATAGGGCTCGGCAGTACGGCCTATGAATAATAACTCAATATTTTCAGGCGATGCTGTTACCGAGTGACATGAGCTCGTCGTCCAGGAGACTGATCCCCATCTCCTGCGAGGGGGCGTTGTCTGTGGGAGTGGGGAACTCTGGGAAAGATGGCGGCGACTGAGGCGATGTGTCCAACCCCGACAGATCCAGCAGGGCCGTCCCTCCTGAGAGGTATCAATAAAGTTATTGTAGGTTATTGTATATAAATAATCTTCTGCATTTAACATCTCTTGTCCGGCAGTGCTCAGTCAGTAGGGTCGCTGGTTCAAGTCCCCGAACAGACTTAAAATATGGAGTGTGGACTGCTACTTGGAGAGGCCCCATTTCACTGTGTATGATTACACCACTATTACACAGAACACTCATTAGGCTGTGTGCATGAACATGTGTGACCATTAAAGAGGGGTTCATCCATCTATCTTCTCTACACATTCATGTGTTTCTGCGCTCAGCTCTTCCCACCTGTTTGCTTGTGTGTGTTTAACGTGTTGTTGCCGTTGACGATCTCCCCCTTCACCTGCTGCTTGTACTGGTTGATGACCTGAGTCAGGGTGTCGTTGGCCTGCAGGATCTCAGCTGGGGACAGGAGGAGGGAAGCAGGGGTTATTATCGAGGCTGATGGATAAGGGTGGGGGGGTCAAAAGAGATTCAAGGTCAAGAAGAATTTAGATTTTCATCTTCGAATATTCTGAATTCACAACTTCTAAAATTCAAGCAATTATATAACAAGTATTTTACGAAGGAATCTACTAGGGATGCTCCGATCGGGAATTTTGGGGCCGATCGCCGGAATCAGTATCGGCTGATACCGATCACCGATCCGATCGAGTGGGCGGGGCCTATGGGGATCTTCCATTTAAAGTGATGTGTAAAACTCAGTTAATGGGGCTCATTCACTGGAGCTTCCACAAACAACAACCAACATAATTATTACATTCAAATGAAGTACATTATTCAAGTTTACATTAACTTTGGAGAATAACACGGGAGAAATGAGCAGAAGCGCTCTCTCTCTCCCTCTCTCTCTCTCTCCTGACAGCCTGTCAGTATCTCATGCAGCTCACTGATCCAGTAATGAGTGACCCGACAGTGAAGAATACACATATTTATAACTAGTTTAGTTCCAGAGGTAGACAAAATAGCTAAGTGTGTTAGGTCTAACTCTTAGTGTGTGCTTCGCTCCATCTCACCGGTCCGTCACAGCAGTCCGTCTCAGCAGGTGGAGCTGCAGGATTTCTGCTTCACACACGTTGCATATCGCTATTTTACTGTCTTTTTCGGACACCTTAAAATACTGCCAGACCGGTGAAGCCATTTTGATGAGCTTGTTTTGCCGCGCACAGAGAAAAGTGTCATGTATTTTACGTCATGTGATCGGCTCTCCCGGTCGGCCTTTATAGAGAGCACTGATCGATCGGCAGAGAGTGAGTATCGGCCGATCGATCGGAGCATCCCTAGAATCTACCAACTCAATGTACAGTTCAGCATTTCTGTGCGATTTTTAAAGGATGTTAAATTGTGTAAATACAATACATTTTTTAAAAAAAAGCAAAGATTCACACCATTATTATTTGGTTTTTTGTATGTCCATTCCCGTTTCAACGTTTTCAATGTGAAATTAATTCCAAATATGCATAAATAATTAAAGAAAATTGCAGTCCCAGATATAAAAGACAGTAAAGACACAGTGTGTATGTGGAGATCATTGATTATCTCCTATGTTTCTACAATGACATGGTGGGCGTGTCTCTGGCGCTCTTATCAGGCTCAACTTTGTGAGAGCAAGAAGATAATAAAACACCTGGACAGTTAAACTTTGTGTCTTTGGCTCTGCCTGATGAGGAATAGAAACATTTCTGCAGCGGTTGTCACTCTTTTATTTCAGGATTTTAACGGCAGATAAATAAAAACATGGCTCACCCAGAGCCTCGTCGTTGTCCTCTGTGTCGCTCGCCAGTCTGAACAGTGTAGGTCTCATTTTCTCACAGCGCTGGTACAGGTCCTGATCAAACACAGTATATTAAACACCTGAGATAAACGCTGCAGTGTAACCTCTCTATTCTTTATTAGGATCTCCATTAGCACTAGCATGAGCATTGGCTATTCTTCCTGGGGTCCTCACACACACAAAACATACATAAAACAAAACAGCTCATCATTTCATGCTATTTACAATACTGTATGAAGTGAAAACTAAAATGGTCATCCAATTTTAGCCGTCATAAGGCCAAACAAAAGAAAATATGAATAATTGTACTTAATAATACACACAGCCACAGCCACAGTTCAGTTATGCTTTATAACAGTGAGATACTGAAAGTTTCACCTGCAGCAGCTCTGCGTTGCTCTGATTGTCGGCGGTGGGCTCGTGGTCCTGCAGGAGCTGAGTCAGCAGAGAGACGCTCTCGTTCACCTCCTGGATGGCGTTCACGCGCTTCGAAACCTTCTCCGCTCGCTTCTGATCCTGAAACAGAGAGGAGACACGTTCACAAAGTGCACACAGAGCAGACACACAGGGACATGATCTTTTATGAAGCAAGCTGCAAAGAATAGGATTTGTGTTATCGTAATATTGTAACATTTTAACTTTCTACTACTTCACAATGGAACTAATAGAAATAGTCCACTGTTTGTATTATATTATACATGTTATATATATTGTAGTACAATGTGCACATTTGAACTTAACTGTACATTTCCCCTCAGTGGGACTAATAAAGGTATTCTGATTCTTATTAGGTTTGTATAAATATTTGAATTCTATTTTTATTTTAGTTGGACATTATATTTGAAATCCTTTTTTTATGACATTTTCTTCTATTTTATCTTTTTTTACACTTTGTCTTTTTGTTTATATCAATATTTATTTACTTTTTTATTTATGTAACCCTTCGGTATCATTCGATTGGACTACGCAAATTACTCATTCGGGACAAAAAGGTCCACAGTGATACCGCAGGGTTAATACATTCTAAAATGAAACCACTGTCACAAAACACCCCAAAATCAATAAAGTATTCTGATTCGGAAAATAAATACAAAATAAACTAATTTGAAGAATAGCAGTAAAAAAATTAGAATAATAAAAGGCTTTTTCTGTGAATTCCTGCTGACCCACTCTGCCAGTGACACAAAGCCTCCCTGAAGCAACCAACCCACTTCCTCATTCCTGCTCTCAAGTGCAGCTCTCTGGTGTGTCACTCATCTTCTTAAAAAACACACTCCGACTACTATCTTCAGCACTAAAAGTGAACATGTGGATAATGTGTGTGTGATTTTTAAAAGAAGTACCTCTTGGACCATTTCCTTGATGAGTTTGTTGGCAGCTTTTAGGTCATCGGGGTGCGAGCTGTTCAACAGGCGAGACAGCATCTGATGAAAGACGCCGAAAACAATAAGTGAACAAGTTTCATAAATCACAAAAGAGACACGACAGCATGTACCGTGGGAAAGAAACTGGGTTAGGTCACATTATTCTCAAGCTAGTGAGCATCTGTTCAAATAACTGATGATTTCTTTATTTATTTATTTCACTTACTTTTGACTTCTCCTCGTCCTCAAAAATCGCATTCTTGGGTCTGGGAGGAGGAAGGTTCAGGAGTTTGTCAGGCGGCAGCTCGGGGTCTTGTTTAATAATACCTGACAAACAAAAAGGTGTTACAGGGCTCGACATTAACGACTGCCCGATGGCCCGGGGCCATCTAGTATTTCGCTCGGGCAATGAAGCCTCACCTGCTGGTTGCCCGATCGGGCAATCTATTATGCCAGTATCATGCAGCTCGCGGATCAGTAATGAGTGACCCGACAGTAAAACTAAACATATCTATAACTAGTTACGGTAGTTTGAGAGGTGATTAAAATAGCTACGTGTGATATTCTAACCTGAAGTGTGTGTTTTGTCCGCTCACCGCTGCATGTGATCATGCAGAGCTGCGTGTCGACTCGTCAGCAGCAGCTGATCTCTCTCTCCCGTCAAATTAGACTTCACTCGCGTTTATGTCCATATCGATCAGATCCAGCTAGTTCTAGCTAATGATAGGACTACCTGCTTATTAAAAGACACCTAAACAATAAGTGTCGCTATGCAACTGGGTGAGGCCACAAAGTATAGCGCAGCATTATGCATTTGTTTACATGCCCACCGGAACCCCGAGGCATTACCAACAGATTAACGCACAATCAACCCATACAGGACATCTCTTTCTCCACATTAAGTGTTAGACATTAGAATGGACTATTCATGTCTGTCACATACTCTTCTTGTCTGTCACATAAGTGGCGCAACTGAAGCGGTATTGCGCTAAAGGGAAATTATTTTGACCGAAGAGATTTAGATTTGCCGGCTAACGGGAACTCTGACGTCCCATTTTGTGTGCTTCGCGGATGCGCCCGGCTCCTCTCGACTGCTGCTCGGGTCTGCTCGGTCAGCTTCTGGATGAGGAGGCATTCATTCGACCAACTTACAGTAGATAACATTACAAACATTTTTAACAGAGGCCATACTAGTGTAAATAATGTTTGTTTTGGCAGTTATAACTGAATGTAATGTTTTCTACTTTTTTACATCTGGGAAGGCATTTGCCTTCATCAGATGGAAAGTGTCTTGACCAACAACTTAAGTGTTTCTTATAGCAGGGCATGCAAGTGAGCAAACACAAACAAGAACAAACAAGTGAAATGAAGAATAAAATTGAAATTGTACAATATAATATTGTGGTGGTTCATCTTATAATTCAGTCTAGAGAATGCACCAGACAGCATCTAAGACCTGCACACATCTAAATGTTCTAGGGGGAGCCCCCCAAACCCTGCGTGCGTCATTTCGTCCGCACGCATTTTTCAGGGCAATCTCTATTGGGCTCAGGGCCATCTGTACATTAGCTTAGATGGCCCACAGGGCCATCTCCCAAAATCCTTAATGTCATGCACTGTTGATATAAGTAGATTAAGCCATATGTGAAGAATTGTCTCGAAGCTACTCTTAAAAAGGTACTTTTTAGCTGCAACCTTTAGTTCCTTCTCACTGTGTATCAATAAGGACTTCTGACGGCCGCTCACCTTGTTTCTTCAGCATCTGATAAGCGTCTGTGATCTTGGCCTCATCAGGTAAACCCAGAGTCCAGCTGAAGATCAACTCCAGAACCTTATTTTTTACCGGCTCAGGTGACCGCGAGCCCAGGTACTGAGGGGGGGGGGGGGGGGGGGGGGGGGGGGTAGAGGAGAACAAAGAAGTTATTTACAAACCAAAAAAGGGGTCTGAAAAACCTAGAAATAATAAAAGAGACACTTGTAGAATCGTACCTTTGGAGAAACTACTTTGATGAGTTCATTGAGGAAACGGAATTTGCCCACTTCACTGTGAAACCTTTTCCCACAGTCCTTCATACAGTTCTCCAGAACCTAGAGAAGAATACAATACAAAATGCTAAAACTAAATCCAATCTGATAACAACAATGTCATACTCTAAAGAGATGCCACTCCATATATTGAATACATATTTAGACAAAAAGGTATGGCTAAATGTAGGTTTAGTTGTGTCTATTCCTGGCAACAAAAATCATGTTGAACTATTAAATATTACAAAACAGTGATCCTGGATCAGATTGGACTCACCAGCAGCGCCTGCATGGCCTCCCACTCCTGAGGAGACTGGATCTTATGAGCCAGCAGTCTGGTGGCCAGCTGGGGTCTGAAACACAAGACACAAAACAAACGATTGTCAATAGTGTGCTGCAGTCCCTTTTGGACGTAATCATGTTGTGGGATGGTAGCAGGAGACTATTCTCCAGTTAAAACACTGAGTAAGTGCATTGAACAAATCAATGACTGGATGTGTCAGAACTTTCTCCAATTAAACAAAGATAAAACTGAGGTAATGGTTTTTGGAGCCAAGGCAGAACGTATAAAAGTTAGCGCTGAGCTTCAGTCTGCAATGTTCAAAACAACAGATAAAGCCAGAAATCTAGGTGTAGTCATGGACTCTGACCTGAGTTTCAACAGTCACATTAAAACAGTTACTAAATCAGCCTACTATCACCTAAAGAATATATCTAGGATTAAAAGACTAATGTCACAGCAGGATTTGGAAAAACTTGTCCATGCTTTTATCTTCAGTATACTGGACTACTGCAATGGTGTCTTCACAGGTCTCACTAAAAAATCTTGGTTGCTGATTGGCTAATGGTTACACAAGCCGAAACATCGTTATGACATCATAAAGTGGCCAAAATCTGATCAGCTCATTTTCAGACAGGTTTTTATAGAAATGGATCAGGACAAAAAGAGAGAGAATCTTTGTTCCTGAAACTTTCAGAGTCTCTTTCCACAGAGGGGACACATGTTGATGTAGAAGAGACATGAAGAAGAGGGGACACATGTTGATGTAGAAGAGACATGAAGAAGAGGGGACACATGTTGATGTAGAAGAGACGTGAAGAAGAGGGGACACATGTTGATGTTAGAAGAGACCTAAGAAGAGGGGACACTGTTGATGTAGAAAAGACATAAGAAGAGGGGACACATGTTGATGTAGAAGAGACATGAAGAGAAGGGGACACATGTTGATGTAGAATGAGACATGAAGAAGAGGGGGACACATGTTGATGTAGAAGAGACATGAAGAAGAGGGGACACATGTTGATGTAGAAAGAGACATGAAGAAGAGGGGACACATGTTGATGTAGAAGAGACTGAAGAAGAGGGGACACTGTTTGATTAGAGAGACATGAAGAAGAGGGGACACATGTTGATGTAGAAGAGACATGAAGAAGAGGGGACACATGTTGATGTAGAAGAGACATGAAGAAGAGGGGACACATGTTGATGTAGAAGAGACATGAAGAAGAGGGGACACATGTTGATGTCGAAGAGACCTGAAGAAGAGGGGACACATGTTGATGTAGAAGAGACATGAAGAAGAGGGGACACATGTTGATGTAGAAGAGACATGAAGAAGAGGGGACACAATGTTGATGTAGAAGAGACATGAAGAAGAGGGGACCATGTTGATGTAGAAGAGACATGAAGAAGAGGGGACACATGTTGATGTAGAAGAGACATGAAGAAGAGGGGACACATGTTGATGTAAGAGACATGAAGAAGAGGGGACACATGTGTGATGTAGAAGGGACATGAAGAAGAGGGGGACACATGTTGATGTAGAAGAGACATGAAGAAAGAGGGGACACATGGGTGATGTAGGAAGAGAACATTAAAGAAGAGGGGACACATGTTGACATGGATAAGAGACATGAAAGAAGGGGAACACATGTTGATGTAGAAGATACCATGAAGAAAGAGGGGGACACATGTTGATGTAGAAGAGACTGAAGGAAGAGGGGAGCACATGTTGATGTAAGAGAGACATGAAGAAAGAGGGGACACATGTTGATGTAGAAGAGACACGAAGAAATGAGGGGGGACACATGTTGATGTAGAAGAGACATGAAGAAGAGGGACAACATGTTGAAGTAGAGAGACATGAAGAAGAGGGGACACATGTTGATGTAGCAAGAGACATGAAGAAGAGGGGACACATGTTGATGTAGAAGAGACACGAAGAGAGGGGACACATGTTTTGATGTAGAAGAGACATGAAGAAGAGGGCGAGACATGTTGATGTAGAAGAGACATGAAGAAAGAGGGACACATGTTGATGTAGAAGAGACACGAAGAAGAGGGGACACATGTTGATGTAGAAGAGACATGAAGAAGAGGGGAAATGTTGATGTAGAAGAGACATGAAGAAGAGGGGACACATGTTTGATGTAGAAGAGACACGAAAGAAGAGGGGACACATGTTGATGTAGGAGAAACATAAAGAAGAGGGGACACATGTTTGATGTAGAAGAGACATGAAGAAGAGGGGAACACATGTTGATGTAGAAGGAGACATGAAAAGAAGAGGGGACACATGTTGATGTAGAAGAGACATGAAGAAGAGGGGACACATGTTGATGTAGAAGAGACACGAAGAAGAGGGGACACATGTTGATGTAGAAGAGACATGAAGAAGAGGGGACACATGTTGATGTAGAAGAGACATGAAGAAGAGGTGACACATGTTGATGTAGAAGAAACATGAAGAAGAGGGGACACATGTTGATGTAGAAGAGACATGAAGAAGAGGGGACACATGTTGATGTAGAAGAGACATGAAGAAGTGGATTTAGCATAATAGGTGAGCTTTAAAACACTTGACTCCATCCAAACCCCTAATAAATATATGAAGCAACATGTCCTCTCACCCTCCAGGTCATTGTTTGAGCTGGTCACAGAAGGCATGGATGCTGCTCCAGTCGGTGTCTCTGTTCAGAGGGTTTGGTGGCTCTGTCTGGAAATTAAGAAAATGGCATGTCAGTCCCGAGAGGAAACAGATGTCCCCTTAACTTTACAGTATTATATCAACATGGTAATTCTATTAGATGACATATATCTCCGACATGTTGGTTACAGTTGTTGTTATTGTGTTATATATATATATATATATATATATATATATATATCTTTATATATATATATATATCTTTATAATTATTTATCTTTCTAAAAATGACTTTCAATCTGTATGAAATGTACAGTTTAACTCAGTTATTATTTCTAAACACTTGTTTTGTACCAATAATAACAGAATGTGTGACACCTCTAAATACTAGCAGTTCAACAGAACTACAACAAAAACAAAACCAAACTATTATTTGGTCTATTGTTTACATTATATTAGCTAGCATGAATTTTAATTAATTAATGCTGTCACATAGATTAAACATTGAATGACAGCCTCACCATTTTCACTCCGAAAACATCTTCTTCACATTTAGCAATACTTTATTTTTGTACAGCATTTCATTTTACACTTTATTTGTTCCTCCTCTTAGTCTATTTTACATGGATGCAGTTAACTTCTCCTGCATGACTTGCACAATGGTCAGTTGCATCATTCTCTTGCACAACTTTAATGATATTCTGTTTTGTTCTTTTGCACTATTTTTGTTGTTTAATTGTATTATATATATGTTGCATTGTTGAAGGAGCCTGGGACTTAAGATTGTCATTGCAATAACTACTGCTACTATGCATATGACAATAAGACCTTTGAATCTTGAATTATATTTACATACGTGGAGTCAAAATGTTAAGGCTTTATGTCATACACAAAAAACTTTAGCCAAGTCCCTAATAAAATGCTGAGAAGGCCTCCATGCTTTGCTAGTGACTGCATGATTTAAAATGTATCAAGTCACTGCCACATCACCCAGCCTGCCACCGAGCAGAGAAATACACAGGGAAGGTGCTAACAGCTGCGAGCTCACTGCCACTGTCACATCTAGAACTTTCTCACCAAGGCCATAGCTTGTACTCAATCATAATTCAATGTATGGGTCTTTAAAATGGGAGCCCTGTGAAAGTGTCTCCCATTCCCTAACCTCAGGTGAGCTACCGAGCCGAGAAGCTAAAGCTAAGCCTGGCTGTGTTGTGTGTTGACAACTAGCTTAGCTTTAGCATCCTGGATGTGACGGAAAGGTTCCAAGTCCCAACTGCCGGGACTCGGGTGGGCTGTCATGTAATCCGAAACAACTCACGGGTAATAATGTGCGAGTGTCCGAGTTTGCAGGCAACACATGCTCGGTAGAATTAGTTTAAAATGACTCACTGATACGAGACTCCAAACTCTCCGTGTCGGGCGGCGCAGCCATCACTGCGAGATTTATGTGCTGCGTTGGTCTCGCGAGATCAGCAAGGGGAACGTAGCGGCAGACGAGACACAGAACTAGAGTGCATAGATAGAACACATGGACATGATTCATACAGGTAATGATAGTTTGCTGTATAATCCTTTATATATACAGTCTAATGTAATAATCACATGTTTACTGAAAGTAAGAACTATTATTGGTGTACAATAACTGATATTAATGTAATAAAAGCATTGTTCTCTTATTCATCTAATTATTTTGTAAGGGCACCATGCCAAATGAACGCCGATGTCCATGACTACACTATGCATTTCAGGCGAAAATAATGTAATAACATAAATACATACAGAGTCTATTGTATAATAATCATAATCATAATAATCGTAATAATAATAATAATTCTCATTCTAGTAAATACATTTCTATGATGTACGTCACGCAAACAAACGGAACCAGAACCGGATACCAAATCCTTCAAAAATAAAACCACGCCAAACGGTTTGTGTGGCAACAAGAATGTAACTCTTTAGACCTTGTACGCTAACTTTAGTTTTATACCTACGCATGTAACGTTTTGCGTGTTATTTTTTGCAAGACTCGACAGGTTCACTTTGCAATACTTTTCAACAAAATAAGATACTGTAATTAGAAACCTCCCCTTCCTAATTATAGAGAAGCTGTGTCTCCCTCTAGAGGCAGCTATTGTGCACACCAGTGAGTAGATGGAGCACAACAAGAAGGACTACAGAGAGTAACGGGATTTGATGTAAAGTGCGATCTCCTTTATGGAAATATATCTGAGTGAGTCATTTGATTATTTCACATCTTTGTATTGGACGATATGCACACATATCCCACATGCACAAGTCTGGTAAATAAAAAGATGCCATTGTGTTACCGCTGTAGTGAGCGTGAGGGAAACCGTTAGTTGTGGATGGAAAGCAGGTTGAAGTGGCTTTAAAGCACGGATACTTTGGTTTGATCTATGTTTTGTATATGACAACGAAACAGGGGAAACTATCTTCCTTCCTACCTGCTGCTTCACCAACTCGATGCGCAACTGTGGCCTCAAGTTTTCTGCACAGAAAAAGTTGCTGCATGGGTACTAGGTGCTCATTTCCTGTTTCCTCCTGAGAGCCAAACCTGTCCGGATGATTTGATCTCCTCTCATTTATAAAGTGCCATGTTCTTCAGCAAGCCGACATGTCAAATCGCACAGAAATGGCATCACCGAAGACTTTACGAGAGTGGTGCCGCTGCACATGCGCCAACTACCCCGATGTGGACATTAGGAACATGTCAACTTCATTCAGAGATGGACTTGCTTTCTGTGCCATCATCCACAAACACCGACCTGACTTGATGTAAGTAGACCTGTTTGTAGCTTCATAGAGCTGTGATGGCTGATGGTATAATGTGCATGGTTTCTTTATAACATTGTAAACACATTGATTTTGGGGTCCTTTCCTGAGAGTCATGTGTTTTCTTGTCTGTGGTTGCACCAGATTCATAATGAAGTCTAATCTGGACCTCCCACTGTGTCTAATCTGCTCTCCTGTGCTTAATCTCTCCCTGTCTCTCTGCTCAACCTTTTCTTGTCCAGTTTAATGGGATTAAGTTGGTTTGTTTTTAACCTTTTTACGTACAACGTCTGAGCTGGATTCATTTAATTTGATCTGTGATTTTTCCTGCATGTTGCTTTATGTCTGATCTTTCACCAAAAGGCAACTGTTGTGTCTTTTCGTCATCAGTTAATCAATGTCTCTACTTGCTTCACCAGAGATGTCAGCTCCCTCTCCAAAGATAATGTCTATCAAAACAACAAACTGGTGAGTCATTTCTGTTTGCGCACAAGCAACAATGTGTTCAATTCCCGTCTACTGTGCATGTGTAGTCCTCCCAGTTTGAGTCTTTATAAAGCATATGGTCATCACCCAAATCTCAGATACAACTCTGTAGCTTTTACAGGTTTTTTTGTAATGGGATTTATGGTCAATAGAACTAATCTTCACAAAAAAGGCAAACATTTTTGAATGATATACAAAAAAGAAGACCACAGATTCTATTGATTTTGATTAAAAAAAGGCAATAATTCAGAGTAGTGATCATTATTTTTTCAGCAATTTCATAAAATAGACATAAAAACATCTGAAAATGGCCCAAATGTGACACAAGGACAACAGTTAACACATTTTTGGACCATTACTAACTTAAAAAAATGTTTGTTATACAACTTCCTTTTTTTAATCCGCATATTTCATCCACTGTTTGTCTTTTTCCCGCAGGCCTTTGAGACTGCGGAGAGGAAGCTGGGCCTCCCTGCGCTGCTGGACCCGAAGGACCTGGTGTCCAACAAGGTGCCCGACTCTCTGAGCGTCATCACCTACATCTCCCAGTACTACCACTTCTTCAACAGGAAGTCTTATGGCGAGTACAATGTCTGTTTTCTGTTTATAGCTCTTTGTCAGATACTTTTGTTCACACATACTCGCAGAAATTATAAATCTAAGTTTTATTATCTTAAGTGAAAAACAATAACAAGTACCTAGGATTATACATGTGATGTAGAAAAGTCATGCCCCAAATTTCGCATTTTTTTCCTGAAAACAACTGACCTTTGTTATATTTTTAGATGAGCTGTGTACTAACATTATCACAATTGTTTCCAACTACTTTAAAGCCCAAAGAAATGTGTTTTTAATCACAGGGTGCGTTTCCTTTGTTCGCCTGATTACTCTGACACCTCTCCATGACAGAAAAACCCATCTGCTTGTACATGTATTCAGAACTAATGTGTATAGGTGCTGTCCTGTGCATGTGTGTGTATTGCACTGTGTATAATAACAACTGAGTTTGTGCTCCATTTGTATGTTTTCTCTTGACTTTGCAGCCGGTCTTCCCAGTCTGAAATCACCCCACGTCACTTTCCTGAACAACCTCACAAAGAGTAAAACCCCCGATGGTCTGAAGCCCCTGAAGGTAATCTGAACGCACGTTATATTCCCAATCTGATCGCTTCTGTTTCCTGTTTCCATATCCTTATTCGCTGGATTTCTCTTCTCTTTTCAGAACCCGACTGATCTTGAAACCGGTAGAGAAGTTCGTCTGTCCAACACGAGGCCGTGCACAGTGTGTAGTTTGTGTTTTAAGCCTGTCCACCTCATACAGAGGCATTTGATGGACGGAAAGGTCTTCCATCGCAGCTGTTTCAGGTAACAGTTCACAAGGTAACAAATCATAGGCTTCTGTTATATCTGGATCCGGTTTATCCACACTGTGCGTACATGTGGTGGAAAGAGGCTGCAGTTCACACATCACAATGTGTTTCAAATGTGTTTCTTGTGACCACAGTGAACATATTAGACGCTCCCCCACTCATATGCTTATAGCTGAAGGGATCTATGTGTGAAAGGTCGTACAGCGTGAGGAGAGAACTGGGTTTGTTGTTTTTTAATCGTCAAAGGATTTTCTTCAGTGCATTTGGATTATAGTTCATGTGAGCCATTTAGACCAGTGGTTCCCAACCTGGGGGGCGCCAAAGATCGCAGGGGGGCGCCAGGCCTCAGATGATTTGAGGCCAAATATCATATTTAGACTTTTTTTTTTTACATATAATTGTAAAGCAATACATGATTGTCACTAAAAGCCTTGTCTCTACAGTACAATAAAATATAAAAAATAATTGATTAATTAATTTTAATAACAATTCAAGTTAGTATTAAAGGCATAAAAAGACAGAAATGTATAATTCTTTCTTTAATAGAAATGTTTCTTCTGCGCGTTAAGTGTCCAATCCGGGCTTTTCTGGATAAGCGCATTTTTAAAACACAGTCATTGTCCATGCCGGTTTCAATTGGATTATTTGTCACAGTTGCTCCGATCAGATCGGTCTCCTCCATGTAGATTATTTACGACTTTTGAATCCACATAAACACATCGGCAAAATCCGGCTTACTTTGAGCATGTGTTTTAAACAGTTTAATCCCTTTGTGAATTGTTTCCACTTCCGCGCCGTCCTTTAATTTCTTCATACAGCGGGAATCCATATAAATTAATCCTGAGTCCAATAACCATCAAAGTCGCTCCAATAGTGCTCCTTAATTACGCTTTCATCCTCCTTTAACACAATACTTCACATTCATCTAGTTTGTGACAGTAGTTGTAGCATTTTTTAGACTTTTAAACTTTAATTACCGCTGTTGCGCCCCCCCCCCCCCCCCCCCCGCTTGTGTGTGTGTGTGTGTGTGTGTGTGCGCGTGTGTGTGGGGGGGGGGGGGCAACTTCCAACAGGAGTCATTTGGGGGGGCTCTTGGGAAAAAAGGTTGGGAACCCCTGATTTAGACGGGCAGGTGGAGGTCAATTATGGGTTTACATTTTCCCTCTGTGGATAAGCGGATACACATAAAGGAAGTACGGGAGCCCTGAGAGGGAAATAAGAAAAGGAGAATGTGGAAATGTTTCTTAATTTGATCTGAAAGGTTTTCTCTCCTGTGCTTATAAGTTAAAAACAAGGTGGCAAAAGTATTTTCAGGATAATTTATCTACTTAACTTTTTTATTAATCCTGTGTGATATGAAAACATGTGATTTAAAAAGTTGTGTGAGGTGTTTGTTGTTGTAATACTAATATACTAACACTAAATGTGTCTTAAAACATTGTTCTTGCTTAAACACAATACATGTTTCTGGTGTTTAGGGTGCATGGAGAATATAAATCTCACCTAGAAAACTGGAATGTGTTTCGTCTTATTAAGGCACCTTGTTGCAGAATTGACGATTAAAACAAACTACATATTATTTCCTTCCTCACTTAATACTTATTTTCCCAACTGCTTTCAAAATAAAGCAACAATGGAGGCGTGTGGCGCAGTGGGTTAGTGTGGCGCAGTGCCTTGTGCATTGGTGTTGGGATCAGGGGAGCACAGGTTCAAACCCCACTGCAGTCAGCATGTCGTTGTGTCCCTGAGACCCTTCACCCCAAATTGCTCCTGTGGGGATTACCCACAGTATTGAGTATGGAAGTCGCTTTGG